TGAGTACGAATGACGAGACCAGCAAGCTCAAAACCCAGAAAATGAAAAACTGGGTCCAAGCTGTACCTTTCCCTCTCTCCAAACCCAGCTTGACTCTTGAGTTACAGTTCGAGTTAAGGAAAGAGAGAGTAGGAGGAAGCACAGGGAGGGTGTTCTGAAATGAAGAAGTCTGGAAATTGTTCCAGGGCATAATGAATTGACTAACAACTGCTTCTCCCCTGGAAGTCATCTAATGAAATTATGAGACCATCCACTTACCGCTGTGATGGCCAGGAGCGTGCTCCAAGATGATCAGCCGTGACAAGGAGTCAGTGCTTAGCTCATAATGTGTTTTAAACAACGTCTAAACGGGCCTTTGCTTTTCCATTTGTGACAGCCTTCAAGGTCTGGGGACAAGACGGCAGCAGGCGTTTAGATGGAGTTTGTGCTGATGTTCATGGCAGTCGTGGCTCAGAAGGAACCTCGGCTCGTCAATGCAGTTCAGGCTTCCTGGCCGAATCCGACAGGCTCATCACCCGGGCTGTGTGTTCAACATCTATTTGCTTCATGAACCAAAGTGTTCTTGTGATCTGTACACGAGTGATGCTTGGGGTAACAGGGTGGTGCGGGGGGCGGGGGGAGGGCAGTTCCTTTTGCTCGCCGGGCAGGGGTGGTAGGGATAGGTTGCTGGGTAGATGGAAGACTTTTCCAGAAATCAGCTTGCCAGTCTTCTCCTTCCCTCCTCTCTTCTGTCATTCGTGGGAGGCGACCAGGGGCACAGATCATGGCAGCCCTGCCAGGCTGCACTGCAGGTCTTTTTTTTTATACTTTACAACATTGTATTGGTCTTGCCATACATTGACTTGACTCCACCATGGGTGTACATGTGTCCCCATCCTGAACCTCCCTGCCACATTCCTCCCCATTCCATCCCTCTGGGTCATCCCAGTGCACCAGCCCTGAGCACCCTGGATCATGCATCGAACCTGGACTGGCGATTCGTTTCACATGTGATAATTTACATGTTTCAGTGCCATTCTCCCATATCATCTCACCCTCGCCCTCTCCCAGAGAGTCCAAAAGACTGTTCAATACTTCTGCGTCTCTCTTGCTGTCTCGCATACAAGGTTATCATTACCATCTTTCTAAATTCCATATATATGCGTTAGTATATGGTATTGCAGGTCTTAATGCTCCCTTGGAGCTGCTACCGGGACACGTGTGCTGGGAGCTGGAAGGACAGGAGCCAGGAGGAAGGCTCAGTGCAGCTGGCCGGCCCGAGCTGGGGTTTTGAAGAGTGATGCTCGGGCCAAGGCACTCCACAGGAGAGCCCGCACAGCAGTCGATGGAGTGACTGTTGTTTCAGACCATCTGTCTCTCGTTAATGAAGTTGTCCGGCACGGCTTATTAATAAGGACACGTGGGCTCAGCCAGCATGGGACATCTTGCTAGAACTAAAGGCCATGGCGATGAAGCTTTAACGACTCCTCAGGCACAGTCAGTGTGAAGTGGGTTCCAAGCAGTGGGCCATAGGAGAGGGCTGAGGGGTCCCAGGCCTAACGTGAGCCCTGGGAAGGAGGCTGGCAGGCCAGCAGACCGGTCACATGGGGATGGTCAGCAACCAGGGGTCCTGACTGCTCACTCTCCCAACTCAGGGCTCACAGTTTGCCTTCCTGATGACCACTTGCCCCCCCTCCTCCCCCACGGCATCCTCGCTGAGTTTGCAAAGCCAGGTAGGCAGAATAATTGCCTCCCCCGGCCACCACCCCCAGCAAAGGGCGCCTACATCCCAATCCCCAGAACCTGTAAAAACATTAGGTTATGTGGCCAGCAGGAGTTGAAGGCTTCAGATGGAATAAAGCTTGCTAATCAGTAGATGCTGGGGTTCCCAAGTGGCTCAGTAGTAAAGAAGCCGCCTGCCAAGGCAAGAGAGGCATGTTCAATCCCTGGGTTGAAAAGATTCCCTGGAGAAGGAAATGACAACCAGCTCCGATTTTCTTGCCTGGGAAATCCCATGGACAGAGGAGCCTGGCTACAGTCCATAGGGTCGAAAGAGTCAGACATGACTTAGTGACTAAACAACAATCAGTAGATGTTAAAATAGGGGGAGTATCAGATTACTCAAGTGAGCCCAGTGTCATCACAGAAGTGGAAGAGGGCGGCCGGGATGTCCTATGCAGCAGGCTTTGAGGATGAAGAGTGAGCCCCCGGCCCAGGAGGCAGGCATCTCCAGAAGCTGGAAGGCAAGGGCCCCTCCTAGGGCCTCCAGAAGGAACAGTGCCTGCTGACACTGATTTCAGCCCAGTGAGACCTGCCTTCGGATCCCCAGAACTGTAATAAATTTGTGTTATTTTAAGTGTCTGGTAATTTGTTCCAACAGTGACAGGAAACTAAAACAGGCATTCTTGGGAGATACGGCCAGTTCTGTCCAGACCACTGCAATAAAGTGAGTCACATGAAGCTTTTGATTTTCCCCCCAATGTGAATAAAGATTCATGCTCAGTCGTGTCTCTTTGTGATCCCAGGGACTGTAGCCCACCAGGCTCCTCTGTCCATGGAATTTTCCAGGCAAGAATACTGGAATGGGTTGCCATTTCCTCCTCCAGGGGATCTTCCTGACCCAGGGATCAGACCCATGTCTCCTGTGTCTCCTGAATTGCAAGCAGATTCTTTACTGGCTGAACCATCAGGGAAGCCCTCGAACAAAGGTTGTTTTCACTATACCGTAGTCTATTAAACTATGTCTAAAAAATAATCCATGTACCTTAACTAAAAAATACTTATGGCTAAAAAATGCTAACTGTCTGAGCCTTCAGCAAGTTGTCATCTCTTTTGCTGGTGGAAGGTTTGAAGTATTGGGAGAATTACCAAAACGTGACACAGAGACACGAAGTGAGCAAATAGGACCAACAGATTTGCTCAATGCAGGGTTGTCACAAACCTTCAATCTGTAAAAAAATTTTAAAAAACACAGTATCTTTGAAGCACAATAAAACAGCCTACAATAAAAGGGATTTCCCTGCAGGGAATTCCTGCAGGGATTTCCCTGGTGGTCCAATGGTTGGGACTTCGCCTCCCATGCAGAGGGTGTGGGTTCAATCCCTGGTCAGGGAGCTAAGATCCCACATGTCTTGTGGCCAAAAAAACCAAAACACAAAACAGAAGCAAAATTGTAAAAAAATAATAGTTTAAAAATGGTCCACCATAAAAAAAGAAAGAAAGAAAAAATGCCTTAAAAAAAAGAAGAGGTCTGTACACAAATGTAATAGGCCTCGTTTAAAAACAGCTCTCCGGACTCTACCCCACCGCACCCACGCCACAGCAAGTGGTGGCCTGTGGCCAGTTCTGGCCCCTGAGGCATAAGCAGGTGTGCACTGGGTGGGGTTTCCAGAAAAACCATTCTTTTGATGATAAAAGCTGAAGAGGGACAGGCTTTTTGCCTCTCACCCAGTTCTCATCTTGCCTGGGACACAGATGGGAGGCTGAAGGTGGGCAGCCCCATGGTAGGACGGTGGAGCCCAGGAGATGGAGGGGCTGGGCCCCTTCAGCCCCAAGAACAGCCTGCTTTCAACCTCCCGTGGCATGAGAAAAATAAGCCCTGCTGGGCCCAACCTGGATGTTATGACACAGTGCCAGACACCATCCAAGGGACACACGTGTGGTCTTGCGATGGTGAAGGAGTGCCAACCAGAACCCCGGTGGCTCTGAGCTCCAGGGGAGTCCAGGGTGAGCATGTCCTCCCCCTCTGGGGTGTGACCTCATGCTGCGAAGGGCTCTGGGGCCATTTGATCACCAGGCAGGTCCGCTACATACCAGGGGCCCAGGACATGCTCTCACCATCTGGACCAAACATCTCACTGGCCCATCAACACCAGCTTGACCCCCTCAGATCCAGCACCCATTGCAGAGAACACGCGAGCATGCCTCTCTGTGTGTATATACATATATGTTTATTGCATCAAATGCCTCATAGCAATCTGCTCTGTTTTTACAATCCACTAGAGAAAAAGGGTTCAAGAAAGTTTTCCACTGTGCTCAGTTTTAAAAAATACAAAAGTGAACATTATGATGACAGGAGAGTGTTAAGAGGCCGAACTGACAAGTACATTCAAAAGTACACCCAGCTGCCGATGTGCGGGTCCTGGGCCCTTGGGCAGGGCTGTGCACTGAAGCCGCGTCCCCCAAAGCCCAGCAGCTCTGCCTCGGCAGGACCAGGGTGACCCACCACCTGGGGCTTGCCCACATTCCTGAGTGATACCCCTCATGGGGTGGACATTACCCACACCTTCAAACGCCCACATACCACACACTTAATTAACATTAAAAAATTTAAACCACTCAAAAATCCACGAAATAAAGAGATCCTATTAAAACATGAAACCCAGTCGTTCTCTAAAGGCAACTGGAGCTCTCTGTCTGCTGAGGGGCGCCAGAGTTGGGGTGACACACGGCTGCCCCAGGAGCTGCCTGGATTCCACCTGTGACACACAGACGGGACAGCGGTCAGCCCAGGTGCTGACCATCTGCTGTGAGATGCTGTAAAGTCACCCTGGGATGGGTCCCATGACGGGCAACACACTACAGTAGCCAGATGGGCCCAGAAGGACGGCAGCCAGAGCCGGGAGAAGATAAAGGGGAGAAAGAGATCAAAATGGACCACAGCACAAGGCTGCAAGCTGGTCCATCCCCAGAGCCGAGCTGTCACAGGATGCCCACCGGCCTGGACAGGGGACTGGGCATCAGCCGTAATGGCACACACACAGGTGAGCCTGGCTCCTCCCTGCAAGTATGCGAAAACACACACCCTCCAGGATCACTGAAGGCCAGGATCCCGCAATGGTGGGTGGAAGACTCGGGAACCCACCAAATGAACCTGTGGGACGGAGAACGGTTCTTCCCTGGGCCTACAGACTTGGCTTGAACCCCTTTCCAGAGAGCTGTAGGTTTCTAAGTAATTTCTTGAATGTACAAAAATGACAGTACAGGCGCATGTGGCTGAGGGACATGCTGGCCAGCTCGGCTCAAAAGTCCTGCAGCTGAGGGATGTCCCGGTACAAATCCAGGGTCTCGGGATTCGAGAAGGCCCCTCGGTGCTCGACCGTCTTCCCAGCGATGATCTGCTTCACAGCCACTTCCACCTTCTTGCCGTTGAGGGTGTACTGCCGGTGAGGGGGAGAGGCAAGGGGGGCAAACAGAAAGACTGTTTAGACCCAAAGGGGAGGGACTTCCCTGGCAGTCCAATGGCTAAGACTCTGCACTTCCAATGCAGGGGACCCGGGTTAAATCCCTGGTCAGGGAACTAAATCCCACATACCATAACTAACACCCAACACAGCTGAATAAATCAATCATTAAAAATAAATATTAAAAAAAAAAATCCCAGGAACTTCCTTGGTCCAGTGGTTAAGACTTCACCTTCCAAGGCAAGGTGTGTAGGTTCAATCCCTAGTCAGGAAGTTAGGATCCCCCATGCCTCAGGGTCCCAAAAGAGCAAAACATGAAATAGAAGCAATATTGTAACAAATTCAATAAAGATTTTTAAAATGCTTCACATAAAAAAATCTTAAAGGCAAAAGAAAAGAAAACCCGAAAGGGAAAAAAAATTCCTTAGCTCTGATATTTGGGTACATCCAAGCCAAAAAGATCACGATCTGGGACTCTGAGAGCAAGTCTTTGTCAGTGGGTGACTGTGGGCAAGTTCTTTAACCCAAGTTTATCTCCTCAAATGTAAAATGGGGCCATAGCACCCAGCCCAAGTCTGTGAGTTAACCAGCACACGGCTCTTAGGAGTGACTCACTATTACACTGCGTTTTCATTATTTATATTTACTTTCTTACACTGTATTACAATAGAAAGTCTAGCTTATTCCAGGAGTGGACTGGCTTCATGTGATTCCATCTCCAATCACTAAAAAGTGAGGTCATCCAAGAGCCTCTCGAAACTTCCACCCCATCTTCCCCCAGAACTGTCATCTGAATGAATGCGACACTGCTTTTCCTATAATCAGACTCTCTCCAAATGGCCAATGCTCCGTCTGAAATTCATAGCATGTGTGTTTCATCTTTAACTCCAATGGGCATTTGGCAGCCATGCTGGCATGTTTAGGGGCCAGGAAAACTCTGGAACAAACAGAGTTCTTTAATAAAGCTGCCAGTGCTCTCATCGCTCCCTGCTCTGGTGCTTTTTCTCCTTTTTAACCTGAGATGTAATTAAAATTTGCTCACTGAAAACCTCTGTTGACGTGTGAACTAATTTCAGATCTGAGTGCAGGCTTATGAGGGCCCGCCTGTCACTGGGGTGGCGTCAGGGCCTCTCGCCCAGAAATGCAAGTGTCTCATGTGCTTTCTGTGCTTCTGAGCACTAAAGCCCCAGTAACGGCTCGTGAGAGCTAACAACTTACATCTTCCATCGGCTGACAAAATAAACAAGGTGTTGTTTTAGAAGAAATTCTGCTCCTGCTTCCTGGTGAGAAGGGCAGGGGGAAGCAGCAGTTCTCCCAGCTCTTGCTGGAACCCCTCCTCTCCCCCACCCAGGAGGTAAGTCCGAGCCTCCAGTCAGGACGGGCCAGTATGTCAGCCGTGACTAGGGACGAAGACCTGCTAGGACCAGGGCAGTTGTGGCCACCGGGCCCTCCAGCCACACAGGGCTTCAGAGGCCCACTTACATTCCCCTAGGTGTGACCAGATCCCCAGCTGTGACTTTGGCCATGGCCAGTCCCAAGCACCGTGGCCCAGCCAGACCCCCTACGCCAGCCTGGTGACACAGGGTGAATCTTCTCCTAAGTGCTTCATTAGTTCGGACCATGGGGATCTGAGAATACGAGGGTGCCTGTAAAATCTCCAGGGATCCTAGACAGGACCTCACAGGCCAGGACTCATGACCCCACAGGAAGACAGAGGAGGAGAGAGCTGAGCTGGGTGCCTGAGAGGAAGCAGACAAGAGCCTGGCTGAGGATGGAAAGACAGGCTGGGGGTCATTCTCCATTTCCAATAAATCGCTCCACTATTCTCGTGAGCAGATCAGTTGAGTTCAGTTCAATTGTTCAGTTGTGTCCGACTCTTTGCGACCCCATGGACTGCAGCACACCAAGCTGTCCTTCACCAACTCCTGGAGCTTGCTCAAACTCATGTCCATCGAGTCGGTGATGCCATCCAACCATCTCATCCTCTGTCATCCCCTTCTCCTCCCACCTTCAATCTTTCCCAGCATCAGGGTCTTCTCCATTGGGTCAGTTCTAAGTATCAGGTGACCAAAGTATTGGAGTTTCAGCTTCAGCATCAGTCCTTCCAATGAATATTCAGGACTGATCTCCTTTAGGATGGACTGGTTGGGTCTCCTTGCAGTCCAAGGGACTCTCAAGAGTCTTCTCCAACGCCAATGTTCAAAAGTATCAATTCTTCGGTGCTCAGCTTTCCTTATAGTCCAACTCTCACATCCATACATGACTACTGGAAAAACAGTACCTTTGACTAGACGGACCTTTGTTGGCCAAGTAATAATGTCTCTGCTTTTTAATATGCTGTCTAGGTTGGTCATAGTTTTTCTTCCTAGAAGCAAGTGTCTTTTAATTTAATGGCTGCAGTCACTATCTGCAGTGATTTTGGAGCCCCCCCAAAATAAAGTCTCTCACTGTTTTCATTGTTTCCCCATCTATTTGCCATGAAGTGATGGGGCCAGATGCCATGATCTTAATTTTCTGAATGTTGAGTTTTAAGCCAACTTTTCTACTCTCCTCTTTCATCAAGAGGCTCTTTAGTTCTTCTTCACTTTCTGCCATAAGGGTGGTGTCATCTGCATATCTGAGGTTATTAATATTTCTCCCTACCATTTTGATTCCAGCTAGTGCTTCATCCAGCCTGGCATTTCACATGATGTATTCTGCATATAAGTTAAAAAAGCAGGGTGACAATATACAGCCTTGACCTACTCCTTCCCCTATTTGGAACCAGTCTGTTGTTCCATGTCCAGTTCTAACTGTTGCTTCTTGACCTGCATACAGACTTCTCAGGAGGCAGGTCAGGTGTTCTGGTATTCCCATCTCTTCAAGAATTTTCCACAGTTTATTGTGATCCATACAGTTAAAGGCTGTGTGAGCAGATACAGACTGGGAATTCACCATTCTGATAGCAAAGGAGATAGATTTGTTCTCAACAAAATAAAGGCCAAGGGGACGATCACACTCTAGTTCCCAGAAGTGTTTCGGGTGCAGACTGAACCTGATCCACTGAAGGGACACCTGAGACCCTCAGCAGGGAAAGTCAGTAAGTGTCACTGACTCAAGAAGCCCCTTCTCACTTCCTGGCCGGTCCAGTGGTTAGGACTCTGAGCTTCCAGTGCAAGGTTGCAGTGGGTGGGGATTTGATCCCTAGTCAGAGAACTAAGATCCCACATGCTGTAAAGTGCAACCATAAAAAGAAAAACAAGTCCCTTCTCTCCCTGAGAACCACTGTCCCCACTGTGTCACCAAGAGTCACCCACTGAGGGACTTCCCTGGTGGCCCAGTGGCTAAGGCTCCATGCTCCCAATGCAGGGGGCCTGGGTTTGATCTCTGCTCAAGGAATAAGATCCTACACGCTGCAACTAAGACCTGGTGCAGCCAAATAAATAAATAATAAAAATAAATATGAAGGAAAGAAAAGAATCACCCACTGAGAGAAAGAGAGAACTTCCAGGTCACAGGGCCCTTCCTACACATAACCAAAGTGGAGAATAAATGTGTGGATGGTATAAAAAGCCCTGGTTCTAATACCTCACATCTCTACTGGATAGCTCAGTGGGTAAACCATTCACCTACAATGCAGGGGACGCGGGTTAGGTCCCAGGGTTCGGAAGATCCCCCAGAGGAGGAAATTGCAACCCACTCCAGTATGCTTGCCAGGACAATCCCATGGACAGAGGAGCCTGGTGGGCTACCATCCATGTGGTCTCACAAGGTTGGACACAACTGCACACCCACAAGCAAGCAAGCACATCCCCACTCCTAACGTGAAGACTCTCCATCCTCTGGGGACCCAGTTAACCTGCTCCCATCCCCCACACCCATGAACAGCTATTGTACAAGCTTGGCTCACCTGTACCCGTGATGTACTGTGTGTGTACCCATGCATACAGGTGTGCGCACACACAGGGCATCTCCTCTCTATGCTGACAGAGGCATTGGTTTTGTAAGCAAGGCAAGTTAAAGCTGTGATCTGATCTCCTCCCCCACTGAGAGCCTAAACAGAGTACAAGGCAAGGGAGGGGGGTCGCTTTCTGGAGATGTGCCTCGAAATAGATTCAAATCTTCTGCAGGCCAGAACTAAAAATTAAAAGGCAAGAGCAACAGCATCCCAGCGGCTCTTTAAAAAGTTAAAATTAATTTTCGCGTTAATAATTTGAGAACACACTAAAACCACATGGGAAAAACCAGTCGGTCGGGCTGGGCTGGGTCTGCTTACCCTCTGAAGACCAGTGTTTAGCAGAAGTTGCCTTACATCCAATTTACGAGGGGTTAAAAAAAAGAGAGAGAGAGAGGGATGGCAGAAAAGAAAAAAGGATGGGGATGGGGTTGCCAGGCAACATGGAACAACTATATATAAAACATGAGCAAGCATCTAGCCGAGTGCTCCGGAAGCAGGCAGGCTCTTGGGGGGCCCTACCGGGATGCCCTGTGTCTCCAGAATGAGGCTGGGCACGTGCCGGGCGGACAGGCCGAGGCGGATGGCCTCACGGATCCGCTTCACCAGGTCGGGCCGGAAGGTGTGGCCGGAAGCCATCTTCAGGAAGAGGATCACCCTCTCCTCCCCATCCTTATTGTACTGCGGGACACACAGGCTGTCCAGCACCTCCTCGAAGGCTTCCACTGCGGAGACAGGGCAAGGGCCAGGGCCTTGCTCTCACACCAGCCCACCCTGATGGGGACCATCACTTCCTCCAGCCCCCCCCCCCCCCCGGGGAAGAGCTTCTGGGGAACAGATGGAAGGACACCCATCACCAGCAGAGAGCCGCAGCTCACACCGGAAGGGTTGACGTCTTACAGGGAGCCATGCACGCTTACTTCCTCAATTACAAATTTAAAAAGAAAAAAGCAGCAAGCCCCTTGGTGGGGACTCCGGCACTGGAACAAAGGCTGGAATCACAGGGATCAAGATTCCATCCTGGCTGCACAGCCCTGACGTGACCTTGGGGCTCTGACATCCCTATGAGGCCACCTCCCTGAGAGGCTGATTCCGTGGCTTTATTGGGAGCATTTTGAAGGCCCGTGGGTTTCTCTATTGTGCACTGTCTTTATCTGGTGCTGAATAGTGCTGTGTGACCTTCAACAATCACACAACCTCTCTGTGGATCTTTCTTCAGTCATGAAGGGTAGACACGAATGACCAACCCCACAGAGCTCAAGGCTGAGACGTAATGGAAGGGGGGTGGGCCACAGGACCCTAAGAAGCCCGTCTTGAGGTTTTACAAGCTACAGGCAGTGTGGGACGAGGCATGTTCTAGGAAGAAGGACAAGCTCATACATGTCTACTCTCACAACCAGAGGCAAATGGGCCAGTTATGTCAAAAGGTAGGATCTTTGGAGAGCAGGCTCCCTGCTAGGACCCTCCTTCCTTCCCTCCTGGATGACCTGAGAATTATTCCAGAAGAAAGGAAAATGCTCACCAATGTTATAGATTTCCGAGCTGCCGAATCGCACTCCATTGGGGTTGAGCGTACCGTCACTGCATAGAAAGAAGAGGTCGTGAACACACGGTGGCTCCAGTGTGAGGCCAGTTGTGGGGGCTGGAGGACAGTCACCGCCTTCCCACAACAACACCATGCCCACCAGTCCTTGCCGGCTGCCTCCCCAGCTTCTGATCCTGACCAACCTTTCTCCTTCTAAACTCAAAGTGAGACATCAAGAGGTCCCCTTGTGTGGGAGCATCTGCCACCTCCTGCCCCTCCCACCTGTAAAAGTACCCCTCTCCCAGGTGCGGACACCCCAGCACCCCCACACTCCCACTCTGGGAAGGACCGTAGCTACTGTAGACAGATGCAGGCTTTACATCTGCCAAAGGCCTCGCCCCCACCCCGTAAAGCCCCCCAATCCACCACTTTGGGGCTCTGAAATGTGGATCACGCCGGACCCGCCCTCGGGAAGCTGACACAGGAAGGGCCCAGATGGGGTACAGTCAGCCCACCCCCAGACTGGGCCAGTGGAGGAGCCCAGGATGCAGTAAGCACCCCCCACTCCCCAGGTGGTCTGCAGGGGAGAGAAGCCAGGTGTGCGGACCCCTCACCTTCGGCCCAGCATGACGATGCCCCCGGTCTTGGGGTTTATCCTGCAGTAGTCGCCGTGCGCCCAGACACCTATGGGGAGGCAGAGGGGTTGGTCACCCTGAGGGAGCCATGGACAGACGCCTGAGGTACGTATGTCAGAAATGTAACTCTTATCAACAGACAGAGCCGAGGCCCAGAAACAGGTGTGATGCGGGGCTGGGGGCAGAACTGAACTAACAGTTCTCACCCCCACAGGCACGCCTTCTAGTGGGGTCCACCCTACAGCCAGTTCTGAGATGCAGCAGTACGTGAGAAACGCCCCTCCTGCAAGCACCAGCGAGGAACTGACGGGCTGAGAATGACGCCAGCAGTGAGAATGTGAAGCGGGGACTGAGCAGGTCAATGAAGCTTCGAGGGGGGCCTCCGAGAAAAGGGCGGCAAAGTACAAGCCCCAGCGGAGGAAGAGACGGTAGCCTGGGGCAGCTGACGGAGCAGGTCTGGAGGAGTCAAGGCCCATCTCTGAACAGAATAAAGAGAAGCAGCAGGACCGGGTGGGAGGCTACTATACCAGACCCAGTAATGGAAGCCTGAACTATGGGACCAGCCACATGGACAGAGACTTAACTAGCAGGAAAACCCAGGATGCACCGAGGGCGGAAGAAGAGGAATCAGGGGACACCGACAGCGTGTGCCCTGACCGCCCCCGTGTGGCTTGCAGTGTACACCTGGGCCCTGGGCTGGTGATGTTCAAGGAGAGGCCCTCGTCCTGGGCGCAGCAAAAAACAGACCCAAGGGGTCTGGTCAAAGAGAAGCCAAGCCTCTCGTGGGAACTGCCAGGAAGAGGCCTCCCTCCTTGAGCTAACACAGCCAGCCCAGGATCAGCCCCACAAATAGAGGAGGCGCTCCGGATGTGAATATCTGTGAGCATGGCCCCACTGGCTCTGTACAACTTGCAAGCAGCAGCCTGGCCTCCTGAAATAAGCCCCAGAGTTCCTGTGATCCACAAAGAGAAAAGAGCAGATAAAACTGGCTCAGGATCTTCACGGACACCATCTCATCCTTCCCAATTCTTAGGACAGTTTTTGACTCTTAAGTGCTAACCCAATCAGCCTGAGACTGGATGAAATGACTTAAGTTCAACCTATGTCCATCCTGACCATGACCAGTAGCTTCAGATCCCATTATCTCATCTGCCCGTGTTTCTTTGTATTTATTCATATATCCCATCTACATCCAGAAAGTATCTGAGGAAGCTACCTATCAAATCAACTGTATGATGGGATGATTGAAAGAATCAGAAACTGCACAGGGGTGAGAGGACAGTTCCAACAAAGCAATGATGGCAGCTCTGAGCTTCCTAGCAGCCAAGGCAAAAATGGAAATATCACAAGTCACAGAGTATTCATTTTCTCCAAGAAGGAATATCAGTTCAGTTCAGTTCAGTCACTCAGTCGTGTCCGACTCTTTGCGACCCCACGAATCGCAGCATGCCAGGCCTCCCTGTCCATCACCAACTCCTAGAGTCTACCCAAACCCATGTCCATCGAGTCGGTGATGCCATCCAGCCATCTCATCCTCTGTCGTCCCCTTCTCCTCCTGCCCCCAATCCTTCCCAGCATTAGGGTCTTTTCCAATGAGTCAACTCTTTGCATGAGGTGGCCAAAGTACTGGAGTTACAGCTTCAACATCAGTCCTTCCAATGAGCACCCAGGACAGATCTCCTTTAGGATGGACTGGTTGGATCTTCTTGCAGTGCAAGGGATTCTCAATATCAGCGCTTCAAAAATAAAGATTTTTCTGGGACTTTCCTGGCTTCCCAGTGGTTAAAACTCTGTGCTTCCACTGGAAGGAGAACAGGTTCCATCCCTAGTCAGGGAACTAAGATCCCACAAGCTGCGTGGCATGGCCAAAAGAAAAAAAAAAAAGGCTTTTTATGAAATTAATCCTGAAGAGACATCTATTATGTAAACCCTTGTATACGTAACAAAAAGTGACAGCAAAGACAGTTTTCAAGGAGCAGTGTACTGAGAAGATGAAGAGATGTCATTTCTTAGATGAGTCATCAAGCTGAGGTTCTAATCCTTTCCTTAGACAGGAGCCTTTGACTCTTCAGGATCATTTGAGGAACATCTCTCTCCTTCCCCTTCCCTCTCTATTCTGCCTTAGTATGTTACAACAGCTACACCCTGGCAGGATCTGAGGTGGGGCTTAAACGCAGCAGGCATCCAATAAGGACCCGGCCACATGGGCAGGGGATGTTCCTGCTAACTCACATGGGAGGTGCTATGCTGGGTACAATGGCTTTCAGATGGGATGTTACATGGGGACACACAAGGCTGAGCAAAGAAATAAGAGGGATCGGTGGCACATTCTACCCCTGACAGTCACCTGCCACTTTCTGATTCTCTACATGTGGTTTATGCAAAATCGAATCACCTTTCTAGAGATTGAAGAGAGCAAGTAGTTGGTATAAATAACTCTGGAGCAGAAGGCTTGCTAAATTATGAATTATATAGCAGCAATAACTCAAGGTTGCTTATGAAATAAGATAAGGAGGAGGCAGGGATCAGAGCTTTAAATAAAGAGACTTCCCAGCTCAGGGGCAGGGCGCCGCTCCAAAGATGAGTGGAGAGGGCAGCCTGAGTGAGTGATGGGCCTGAAATTAATTATCCCACTCAAAATCTCTCTTCTCCCATCATCTCCACGAGGACTGGATGACAGGGTGTGAGGCAGAGGAGACCCCAGCCAGACACCTATTGCACAGGCATCTCTCCCTGAATAGGCACACCAGTCTGGGTAAGCGAGCAGCGAACCTGCCCCCTCCCCAACCCAGCCCTGTCCCTACACAGGCAAACAAGCGGCTCGTGCCAGCTCCCAGGTGCCAGGCTCAGGGCCAAGCGGCAGGGGGCATGGAGGATGTTAAGAGTACACCAAACCCAGATCAGAGTTTCATTTGATGGCTTCAAGATGCAAGTGACAAGACACTGATCAGAAATTCATCATCACCCCTCTGGCGGAAGGAGCCAGGAGTGGCCTCACCAGGTTTTAGCAGGGAGAAGGGACTGGAAGGTGGAGGGTGCATCCAGAATTAGACCCCAAAGGCCCAGTCCGGGCAGGAATCTGGGCAGCTCCGCCTGCATCCTCGACCCACCTGGGAACTTGGAGAAATACGCCTTCCGGTACTTGCTGCCATTCTCGTCGTTCCAGAAGTGCGTGGGCTGGCAGGGGAGCGGCTTGGTGCACACCAACTCACCACTCTCCCCCCACACGGCCTTTCCTGGTCGGGGAGGGGCGACACATACACTGAGCACACACCACGGCCATACCTCGGTGCCCTTTCTCTCCTTTATTGAAACCACAAGCTATTATGCAGTATTTCAGACACACACAAAGCTACGGAGCTGGTCCCACCCCCCTGCCCATCCCTCCGACATCACCAAAACCCATGCTAATCCCTCCCCACACAACTCTCCCAAATCTCTCTCTCAACTGGAACACTGTATTATTCCCTTGTGTGTATTAATACTTTTACTACATCCACGTGCATCTGAATAATGTCATTTTGCATGTTTCTAAACTCTGCATGGATGGCAGCACACTGCCCCTGTGCCTGCATCTCACCCTGGGTCCTCACCAAGGTTAGGACGTGAGGCCATTGGTGGGGCAGCCTCAGCAGTGTTTCCAAAACTCAGATGCCCGCCTTGCATGCCAAGCACATGGCCCTCCGTCTATGCTCCAAACCAACACCTGTTCCTCTGCTTTAGGCTGAAGGCAAATGGGGAGCCAGTGGGGGTTAAACCAGGCTCGGAGCCCAACAGTCTGCAAGTGTTGGTGGGGAGGGGTAGCCCCTCAGAGGGGGCAGTTTCGGAGAACTGTCCCCCAGCAAAGCTACACATCCAAGCGCACCCAGGTGACCACTCACGCCTCGTCACAAAGATAGAAAGGATTTGGGACCGTCACCTTGCTCATTCCATGCCTCCACAGCCATGCCCAGGTTCCGAGCCTGAATCTCCCCTTTGTACACAGGAATGGATGGATTCTGGCCCATGAAGCAGGAGACGATGTCAGTGCCACCTGCCAGCAAAAGGAGATCCAGGACTCATAAGACCGAGACAACTGCTTGTTTTTCATTGGTGAACCCTCCAGGAGAAAAGGCCCTGCAGGACAACCTCTCCGATTCTGTCTCCAGATATTGAGCCTCTTTTCAGGGAAAGAACAGGGAGGTTATTCAGAAACTGGCACAAACCTCTCAGGTCTGGGTGGTTTATTTTTTTTTTTTGACCAGGACTTCCTGCTGGAGGAGAAACCAATGAATGACCTCCCGTGGTCACACTGAAATCCGAGACTGAGGTTCATGGAAGATCGAAGTGTGGCCTGTTAGATCCGCCCGCAGGCACTGCCGCGGGAGATGGGTCATGTGCAAAGGCTCTTTGCTACAGTTCACATTCACTTAATCACCGGAGAAGCAGAAAGCCTGTGGTCCCAGGAGGGTGAGTCCCATGTGAGAGACAATGTGCTAGATGGGAAACACTCTGATTTCAGGAAGGAGCTTGAAAGGGAGGGTGCCATCAGAGTGCCTAAAAGGCACTCTGGGTGCCATCAGGAGGGAATGGCATTAACCCCCAGACCTGGACAACCCTCCCCTTGACAACTGTCCCCTAGGGCGGGCACCCGGGAAGGACGGCCCCAGGTGATTGCAGGGCAGGATGTCCTGAAGGCAGAGACACACAAGGGGCCCACCCAGGTGCACGGTGGAGGCAGGTGGCAGCCGAGGGAGGAAAGTGGGGAGGGTGTGAGCGGGGGTCACCCAAGGAGCCCCCGGCTCTGTCCCTTCCTAGACTCAACGATCCAGACACCAGTGTCCACTCTCCCCTTTATGTCTGTTTGTACCCCTAAAAAGATAGCCTTATGATTTAAAAAGTACTTTTCCCTTAATCAATGCTCTATGTATATGGATGGAGTGGGGCAGGGGGTTTCAAAACCAACATAAAATGATTTGCTGAATTAATTCAGCAGAATTAATTCAGGTAGAGAATCAAAGTGTGAGGTCCTTCCTGCATCCTCCTGACACCTCGAGTCACTGGCTGATGCTTTTCACAAAAACGGGGAATCGTGTTCACTGTAGTGACCAGCAAGGTTGGACCAGCCCCTGGGGCCCCAAGGAGGCACAAGGGCGTGAGCAGAAGTGTTGCTTCCTCTGCTTCAGGATGAGAGCTGGGTTCACCGGACAGGGGCGGGAGGACCGACTGAGATCCGAACAGGCGTCCTGCCCCGAGACGGGCTGGGCTGGCCTGGGAAGACGACCCTGTGCCCACACGACCACCACACCCCTGCCCACCAGGCGGGATCTGGGGAGGACCAGGGGATGGGATGGGGATGGTGGGGAAACTCTGGCTCTGGGACAACAGAACCAGGTCTGAATCCCACACTGGGACTTCCCTGGTGGTTCAGTGGCTAAGAGTCTGCGCTTCCAGTGCAGGGGCCCCAGGTTCGATCCCAGGCCAGGGAACTAGATCCTGCATATGCTACAACTAACACCCGGCACAGCCAAATTAATAAATTTTTGCTTTTTTTAAAATCCCACTCTGTACCCTTGCTAGCAGGTGGTCTTGGGTCAGTCACTTAGCACGCCCAAACTTCATTTTCTCTTTTGTAAAGAAAATAGGCTCTACCAGAATCAGTCATTTAGGGTCTAAGATTACAACCGATGTGAGGTGCGTGTGTATATTCCTCACCCTGGCAAAGGATCAGGAACTGCTAACTCCATGTCTGCAGCTTCTCCCTGGAACATAACTACCAAGAATCAGCAACATCACCCGAGCACACTCTGCTGACTGTTTATCCCAATAGATTCAAGCTGGGTGGCTTGCTGGGTCAGAGGGTAAGCACCCTGAGCGGCCAAGCCTGGCCCCCAAGTCCTCTGATCCTTCCAGAACCCTCCCTACGGCACAGGCGCACAATGGGGTCGTACCTGAGATGGAGCCCAGCAGGACGCTGCTCTTGATGCACCTGTAGACGTAGTCATAGCTCTGGGCTTTCAGTGGGGAGCCGGTGGACAGGATCGTGTGCAGTGTCTGGAGACTGTGGGTTTCCACTACAGCCAGAAGCACCGAGAGATTAGAGCCAAATCGGACAACCTCTGCTGGCTTGCAGGAAATGGGTAACACAGCGGATCTGATTTCATTTCCAGGGACGGACGCGCAGGGAGGCAAGCTTACCTGGCCTCATGTCTTTCTCTTCGAGCACAGCCAGCCACTTAGCACCCGTTCCAAGGATGGTGATGCTGACAGAAAGAAAACACCAGAAACCCATCAAGGCTCTTCCATATTGCAGGTAACCATAGTTTTCTCCTATTAGTGACCCATTTAGAACAAGGCTGCAAAATCCAAGACACATCATTTTTCTGGGCTAAACTGATACTTAATATTTAGCTAAAAGCAAGTTACAATACCTGTTACTCTGAGGCCAGCAGTGACAGGTCTGCAGAGCACTCGGGCTCTCATTAACCTTTGGCTCTACTTAAAACAACCGTTTGTACATAAACCCACCATCTTTGGGGACACTTCCCTGGTGGTCTAGTGGTTAAGAATCTGCCTTCCAGTGCAGGGGACAACAGTTCAATCCCCGGTCAGGGAACTAAGACTTCACATGCTGCATGGCAACTAAGCCTGCACGCCACAACTAGAGAAGCCTATGTGCTATAAGACCCGGAAAAAAAAAAAATCCCTGTCTTCCCAACTGTAGGATGATCCCTTTCAGAGATCAAAGGAGGTCACAGAATCAAAACCCCTCAAATTCTGAGCTCACAAAATAATTTTCCAGGGAAGTGGAGAGGGCTGCAGGAGCCTTTGTTAGAAGAGGTGCCATGCTTGGAATTGCTGACCCATCTTCTTCCCTTAAATCAGCTTGTGTTTGTATGAAACTTACAAAACTGCCCCCTTCTTTTTGAACGTTTCAATTCTACAGTCCTTTATTCTTCGCTGAGAATGATACATTGTGCATATAAATATTGCATTTTCAAGGAGAGGCTGTTATTTAATGTTCTGCTTCCTTCCAGCATGGCAGCTCTCAACACGAAAGCTCTAGCTTCCTAGGTAAAGGATGTTTTCTCCTGGAGGCCAAAGGAGGCCATAGAATCCAGGTCCCAGGACTTCCCTGACAGTCCAATGGTTAAGACTCGATGCTTCCAGTACAGGGGCAAGGGTTCAATCCCTGGTAGGGGAACTAAGATCCTACGTGCCATGCGGTGTGGCCAAAAAAAAAATCCAGGTCTTGCCTCTCCTCTCTGGGCAGTAAAACTATCCCTTTACACCTGGCTGGCAAGATTCATTCCAAGGAGACAGCCATGCTCTGCTTCATGTTCAGAAGTTGAGACACACAGAACGCTGGGTGACTCAGGGCTCACTGGCCTGGGAGGTGCAGAATCCATGGGGGCGGGAGGAGGCAAGGGGGGTCTCAAAGCCACTGTCTTTCATGCCTCCTGTCCCTTATTCTCTTCATTTCTCGGGGACACCCTGCCACCACCAAAACCTCAGATGCCTCCTGGGTCGCTGCACCTAATTTGGAAGCTGTGAGGTTGTGGGGAGCAGAAAACATACTCAAGCCCCTCCCCAGCTCCCCACCCCAGCTAACTTCATAAACTCAGATAGTGTGTTTAATTCCAGATCACCTCTGAGGATTAAGGTCTCAGCCACTTCAGGAATATCTGTATTTTAAGAGAAGACCAGGGACCACCTCCAGTCACACATACAGAGATCTCCAGCCACACATAGATTTCAGCTCATCCCCCATCCGCCCCCTGCCCAGAAACCGAGGGCCCTCTGTGGTCCTGAAGGGTGTTTAATTCACAGAAGTCCCTGCAAACTGTGACCCTGGTTATGTGTAGAGACTGAGACAGCATCCCCAGGGCCAGCCCACAGGCCTGCTTGTCTGAAGAAGCGGCGAGGCCTCCCCATCTGTCCCCAGGGCTTGCATAAGACGGCTTAAAAAACAGAGTTCACAAAGCGCAGGCGCCCTCACGTGGTGCTCAACACTGTATTTTTAGCTAGTGAAGCTGGGAGTCACCCCACGAGAAACGAGGCCGCTCCCAGAAGCAGGGTCAGGATCCAAGCCCCAGAGCCCCGCAAGGAGCCAGACGCAGACAAGGCGCCACCAGCCCGAGCCCTGTCTCCTCTCAGGTGCCCTCAACTCCATGGTTTTTGGGGGATCATGAGCTCCCTCAACTCAAGTGACCCAGTGGTGTCTCATTTCACTCAGAAAAAAAACCACCCTGCAGGTACAGCCCGGAAAACCCTGGGGGCTCAGAATCCCACCCTCACCTCTCAAACACCTCTCATCACCCCTCATCACGAAGCATCACCTCCTGCCCTGCCTCCCATATCCAGACCACAAGGGCCTCCTTCCAGCCTCCCCAACACCCCCATCTTGGTCCCTTCTTTCTGTCCTCGGGGTCTGGGCACTTGCTGTTCCCTCGGCCTGGAACATGGGTCTCCCAGTCCTAAACATGAACTGCCTGCTCAGTTAAAAACCTGGAAAAAGACTTCAGAATTCTACCCTAACCCCAGTCAGAATGTTCCCTGGGCTAGATTCAGGGAGCCTAGAAACACCCCAAAGAGTCTTGTTCACATCTACAACATGATCGCCCAGTTATGAAACGTGTTAGTAAGCCTGTGAGCTGACACAATGATAATCAACAAAGATTTTGTCTCTAAATGTATGGACATTATTTCCTCCCCTCTCACCCATGTAGGCAGCCGGAGCACTGGGGTGTACTTCACGCACCGCTCACAGGTTGCCAGGTGGCACCTGCCTCGCTGAGCCCAGCAAGTCAGCCCTCCCAGCCAGGAGAAAGGGCAGGTCAGAGGGGCCCGGAGGACCACCGAGGCCACAGCTCAGCCAGGGTCCAGGGCACAGGTCAAACCCGGATGGAAGGCAGAGGCCCAGCACGTGCTTACTAACAGTCCACAGGGCTGCGAACACATGCAAATTCGCCTGTGCACACCTGCACATGATCACATGCCAGCTCATACACACTCGCCCACAGACACGTGTGCTCTCCCACTCCCACTTACCTAGGCACATGTGTACACAGACATGCATATACACAGGCACATACATGCACACCTGCACACAATCAGATGCACACATACACTCATTCACAGACATGCATGCTCACATTCACACTTTCACACTCAAGTGCATATGTTCACACTTCTGCACATATACACATGTTCACACTCAAGCATATACAGGCACACACTTGTGCACATATACACACACTTTCACACTCAAGCGCATGAGACTCACACTTGTGCACATACACAGACTTTTACACTCAAGTGCATATATGCTACACTTGTACAGATATACACACACTTGTATATACTTAAACATATATATGCTCACACTTCTGCACATATACACATTCCCTCATCCACATGTGCCCACAAACATACACTTACTCACACTCAAAGCTGGGTCTCCCTGCGTCCTTCAGCCTTCAACTTCATCAGCTCTAAGCCCTGGGGAGGTACATTTGTCCCTCCAATCCCTTCCTGTAACCCACACACACACATCAGAAATGCCTCCACCTGCGCCCGGCTTACAGGTATTAAGGGCAAAGATCTTCAAGTCGCCTAAGCTCCCAGGGATTTGATTAACCTTTTGCTGGAAACAATCTCATTAGAAAATAACCTTCCTTGCTCATATCGTGAGCCAAATGTCAGAATTTAAATATTACCTAGGCCAAAGTTATATTTAATATATTAATGGCCAAGGATTTAAGAACATTTGTGGCTCATTCTGTTTCCCCAGTGCGAGCAGATTCAAACGTAAAGTAATTAGACCATTTCAGAGTGTGGCTGACTTCCGGGCCCCAGGAGCCCTGCCAGCTGCCGTGTTCTCATTCCTGGAAACACGACCATTAGGCCAACAGTGACCACCAACCACAGCGGCGAGACTGCATCAGCCGGTGATGATTAATTCATCAGCCAACAAAGTGCTAATGAACCAGGGTCTTCTGACAGTTTCTAGCCATGACGTTGGGGAGGGGGCTGGAGGATAAATGGGGCCACTTTGCCCTTCCCCTGATGTTCCACTTTAGCTGGCTCTGCCCCTGTCATCAGGATGCCCACCTGTCACCCTGTTAACAGGACTGCGGGGAGGCGGAGATGCCCGCCCGCAGCACTGGCAGCAGGGCACTGGGCACACTGCTGAGTCCAGGACACCCTCGAGGCTCCGGCCAGCCCTGAGGGCTCGCAGCAAGGCTGCTGGGAAGGCCGGACACTAGGAACTCTCCAGGAACTGACCTGTCCTTCCCGGGATGAGAGGATCCACACCATCCCCTGACCAGGTTAGTACGTTCAGGCTAGATCACTCTCTGTCTCACCCCCGTATGAAACACAGCTCTAATAAACCCTTCTTCTGCCTCTCTTCTGAGCTGCTCTGCAAGTTCTTAGAATCCAGAGTTCCAGAAAGAAGACCATGTTCCCTCTCCTGGTGTCCGAGGTTTCAGAGCTCACCCCTGGGCCAGGGGTGGGAGGGGGCAGCCTCCTCCTCACTACACAGATCTGACTGGTCAGTACCTGTTGGGGCACCCACCCTTTCCCACCCTCCTTGACAACTTCACCTGCCCTCAGCACCTACAGGTCCTCACACAGCCCCCCACCAAGAGGGGGACGTGGACAGGTGGGGGCAGGTGCGGGGACGGGGGTTGTGAAGCATTCCAGAGACAGCAGCAGAACCTCACAGCGGCCACTCTGCATCTGAGCATCCCGGGTACTTACCCGATCCTGTCGACCAGATCCCAGAGCACGTTGGGTGTTGGAACCAGAGGGGAGCCATCATACAGGACCACAGCAGCTCCCGTGGCAAGAGCAGACACCACCCAGTTCCACATCATCCAGCCAACCTGGGGTGGACAGAAAGGAACACGTGTCAACCGAGCACCGGGCGGGCTCCTCTCGGCCCTGTCACTCAGCCTCTCAGATCCCTAGAAACCAGCCGATGCTGAGCCAAAGGTGCCAAGAACTGCCTGTCCAAATATGAGATGCCCTGAGCCGGCAACTGCCCATCAGGAGTTGACGGCATGGATCAACACACACGTGTACACTAAGACATGTCGGAGAGCATCTCCTGCAGCCTCGCTGCTGACAAGAGGGACTGAAGGTCACAGAGGTGACAGTGGTCACGTGACGCACACAAGCCAAGAACTGGGTGCTGGAGTGGCCCATCCACGCGGGACATGGGGGACAGTGCCTGGCACCTGCAGCACCCTTCAGCCTCCAATAAATCCCTTTCAGTTTGAATGAGGCAGAGTCCCTTTACTGCTCCACAAGGCTGAGGACTGACCAGCCTCAAGGCGTCTCTGGTAAGTTCCGGTCCCCCTGCCCCCGGCTGAGCCACAGATTTCAGTCACATGACTCTCCTCCCCACCTCTACAGGCTCAAAGAAATTGAACTAACAGTCAGTCTCCTTTGTTTCTCTGGAATTCCCCAGGGCACCAGGTCTCCCAGCGACAACCAAGGTCAACACAGGAGGACAGGCCAAGGTAAGGAGGGACCTTGGTGCCAATTCAAGGAGGCAGCCACCTGCGGGGAGAAGGCACTGGCAGAGGGAGAGACGGAGATCGACAGGGAAGGATCCCACAGCAGAGGCCACTTGTGCATGCAGCCGGGGTTCCGTGCACACAGCCTGGGGTCTTATGCACACAGCCTGGGGTCTCGTGCACACAGCCTGGGGTCCATGCACACAGCCTGGGGTCCATGCACACAGCCTGGGGTCCCGTGCACACAGCCTGGGGTCCATGCACACAGCCTGGGGTCCCGTGCACACAGCCTGGGGTCCATGCACACAGCCTGGGGTCAGCTGCACACAGCCTGGGGTCTCATGCATGCAGTCTGGGGTTTGGGGCACGCAGCCTGAAGCTTGAGCTGTACTTCCGACTATTGACACATGCGATGGGGGAGAAGCGAAAAGAAGAGTAATGATAAAGGCCTCCCTACCTGAGTGAACCAGAGCCCACCCTGAGAGGGCACTCACCGTGGTATAATACAAGATGATGTCACTGCTGGTCAGGTTGCCATGAAGAATGTGTTCCTTTAGGTGTTGGATGAGCGTCCCCTGGGGAGAAGTGAGTGAGCCAAGCAGCTTCCTCCAGGGCACAAAGGCACGCACAGAGCAGACGCCTGGCCCCGGAGCAGGAGGTCAAGGAAGAGGCAGAGTTCTGACAGCCTTGCCATGACGAGCAATCTCCCATCCCTCTGTCACCTGACCCCTGAGACTCCCGGAAGACACAAGAGGAAATCCTGACCCTCTCCTGCCGACCTGCAGGCTCTGAGCGCCAGGTGATTAGGCACCCAGGGGTTCTCACACAAGATCCTGAAGACAGATGCAGGATCTGGGGACACAGCCCCTCCAAAAACCTGAAAAGGCTGGACCACTGCACTCAGTCTGGCCACAGACAGCATCCGCTGGCCGACAACAATGATAGTCCTGGATGTTTAGGAACCTTTGGGACTCACATATTAAAATAAGCCTTGCAACCCTTGTACCCAAGAGAAATAAAAAAACAGCCATTAGGAGATGACCCCTTTGAAGGCACAACAGAAACAATCCTACCCACCAGGGACTTCCCTCGTGATCCAGTGGTAAAGCATCTGCTTTGCAATGCAGGGGACGTGGGTTCAATCCCTGGTCAGGGATCTAAGATCACACATGCCTTGGAGCAACTAGCCCACGTGCCGCAACTCCTGAACCTGCGTGCCACAACTAGAGACCGTGCACCTCATCAAAAAGCTTCCACATGAAGCACAAAGATCCTGCAAGTGACAACTAAGACCCGAAGCAGACAAATTAATTAACTTAAATTTAAAAAAAAGAGAGACAATCCTGCTCAGCAAATTCTCTAACTCAATGCCAGAGCCCCTATTCCAGAGTCTGTCCTGGACAGCACCCTGTAACCATGCCCACAGTGGGGGCAACCTGCCTAGGGATGGGCCACACGGGGGTTGGGTAGATGGTGGTAGAAAGGTTGCTGGGAGGTTCTCCAAGGCCACCCTCAGTCTGCAAGAGCTGAGATCCCTCAGCTTTACCGCACATGCATTGTGGGCTCAGGGGCCCCAACCCAGGACAGTCACAGACTTCTTTGGAAAATCCCACAATACACATTGTTCTCACTCACAGTGGGTGAATGATCGTGTGGAGACAGCACACATTTTGGGAATTCTTCTGATGAACACCAACTGTTCACATGGCAAATTCTCAGAAAGGACTGGGAGCTCCCGGGTCAGACAAACCTGAGGCCAATCCCCTTCCCATTTCCCTTTGGACTTAAGTCAGCACCTAAGCTTTATCTCTGCCTGAAAGGTATGCCTTTACAAGCCCAGCCTATTCATAACCCATCACACGTTGTTCATTTCCTCAGTACCCCCATTTTTTGTTTGTTTGTTTGTTTGTTTTTGACCGTGCCACGCAGCTTGTAGTATCTTAGTTTCCTGACCAGGAATTGAACCTGTGCCCCCTTCAATGGAAGTTCAGAGTCTTAACCACTGGCTCTCCAGGGAAGTCCCATACCCTCACCGTGTGGACAGCACCAAACCGTCCTTTGCTTCTCTCTGTATGAACCTTTTGTTGTTGTTGTTGTTCAGTCACTAAGTCGTGTCTGACTCTTTGAAACCCCATGGACTGCAGCACGCCAGTTTTCTTGTCCTTCACTATCTCCCAGAGTTTGCTCAAACTCATGTCCATTGAGTCAGTGATGCCATCCAACCATCTCATCCCCTTCTCCTGCCTTCAATGTTTCCCAGCATCAGGGTCTTTTCCAATGAGTCGGCTCCTTGCCTTAGGCGGCCAAAGTATGAATCTTAATGAGTCGAATTAATAGTTCTTCTCTTAATTTTTAAATATTTATGGCAAGTCTGAACACTTTCCCTGAGGGTCAGGAAATACAAGCAACATGGTTTCCTGGAACTCAGGCAAGAAGACTCATTTTAAAAAAGGAAGAGAAGGAAGCTGTTTTCTGGCTCTTTCATGGGCTTAGAAAACACAAACCAGCAAACCAGGGCCACACCCCCTAACAGCCCTGGAGGCAGTCTGTGCTGGCAGTCCCATCTTGCTGTTTTCAAGTTTCCTCTCCAGATCACTCTTGAAAACAGGCAAGACGCTTAGTCACTTCTCTGGAAGTGCAAGAGCCCAGTGAAGCCAGAATTAAGATAACTTTTCCTGACTTTTCCACACTCTAAATATACCAGGCACGATGATTTTATGAGCCAACTACATTAGATCTAATATATTTTTATGTTCCACTCCTAAAAAAGTGACATTCAGTAGGCAAGTAGCACTAAAAATAAGAGTACAGTTGGGCATTTCAGTTTTTCCTAAAATGTGCTGTTTTGCCACATACACCCCACCCTCGCCTGCAAGGTTTCTAAAAACCCTCATCTCTTTGGCTGGGTATTAGGCTTCTGACCAGGTGGACCGGGGTGCCCCCTCCAGGGGAAGCATGATAACAGCAGCCACACCTTAGAGTGGGCATTCCAGATTCAGTGCGATGCAACAGGATGGTTTGAGCAACAGGAAGAACTCGCTCCTAGAGGCCACTCGGCTTGGCCAGTGTTGCTTCCAGAAATCAAGGCTTTGGCCCCTGATATCCCCTCCCTCCCACCCCAGGGCTTCTGGGAAGTTGCCCGCTGTATATGAACAGGCTGTGTGCATCTGGTGGTTATAATTCATAACCTGCCATCAGACCGTCCGTGGATCCAAATCTAGGTAATGACAAAGCTGTGTTATGTGTTAACTCCTTTCCACATTCTGATGAAGACACTGTGTAAAGAGCTGTATAAGGAGTTAATGTGATTCCAGTCTAAATGTTTCCTTCCTAAGGCAGGGATTCAAACAGCTTCTAGGTGCAAAGAACATCTGTAAAAGCTAAATGAGCTAGGATAAAAGAAATTTTATACTTCATCTTGAAATACAACCATCTGACCAAGCAAAACTAGAAAGCTGTTTGAGAACGTGAGGTCTCTCCACTCAGATAATCCTCGGGCCTCCAGGAGGGGAGGAAGTGAGACTGTTAGGGTGGGCCATCATCCACTGTGACTGATGTTCTCACAAAAAGAGGAAATTCAGACACCAAAGAGACACTGGGGATGGCAGGGGGAACAACTCCCCCCGTGATTCAGTTGCTATGATGTTGTGCCCCCAATTCAGGGGACCTGGGTTCAATCCCACTAAGGCCTGTTGCAGCCATATAGATAAATAGTAAATATTTTTTAAAGAGCTCCATCAGGGATGTATATGCACAGAGGAAAGACAATGTGAGGACACAAGGAGAGAGGCTCAGAAGGAAGCCACCCTGCCCACACCCTGATCTTGGACGTTCTAGCCTCCAGAACACCGAGGAAGTAAATTTTTGTCATTTAAGCCCCTCTGGTCCATGCTATTTTGCTAGCACAGACTTTTGACTAATGCAGCTTGGAAAATCCTTCAATTAGTTGTACTTTGTAATGTAACCTATTAACAGGAAGAACAAAATCTGATTCCACGATTTCTCTTAAAGTCTGCTCTCCATTGCTTTTGTTACTATAATCACTAAAAAGATGCTATCTATAACTGTGAGCATACATAATGGCTTGCCTTGGGGAACCTGCCCCCTCTGCCTGCCTGTTAAACTAAAGAGCCTTTGCTCAGCTCACAGGATGACATTCAGACCCAGTCCACCTGGGAATGGCTGCAGGAAAGAAGAAATTAACACATCCCTTTCCCAAAACTGGCTAAGCCAGGAGACATTTTGCAAGATTTTCAGCAAATTTTTACTTTACTTCCTCATCTCCTCCCCCTTCTGTTCTGTCAAAGAAACTGCCCTCCAGACCCTGATAACATGGTGCTCTACAGCCGTAGCCCACTCGGATGCCTGGCTCTCTGAATGAAGTTGCTATTCCATGCTTCACCGTCTCATCTCCTGATTACTGGACTGCTATGCAGTGAGCAGATTGAGCTTGGATTTGATAACAACCCAGTGTCTTTCAAAGTTTTTGACCCCAATCCACCGTCAGACAGAAGTTTTGCAATGCTGCCCTGCACCTGCCTGTCCATACCTGCACTTACATGACAGTTTGGAGAAACCACACCAACCCCCCCAAGACGTATTATGTGCTGATATTTCCTGTTCTCATCTATCCTGTTTCCTTCTGTCTAAAATGTGGCAAGACCCATCCACTAGGCTCACGATCCCCTCAGGGATCACTGTGTGCAGAGGGACCAGGGTGGCGCTGCAGAACCCCTGACCCCGTGGGGATGGGGTCACAGCAGCAAGGCCAGCATGCCTCCCTCATCTCGCTTGAGGATGGATCTCTGTGTGGCATCCCACCAGGAAAGCGGGGATGGGTGCCACCTTCACCAGCAAGGAGTCCCCGAGCAGACCTACCCCGGCCGAGTGCACCATGCACTTGGGTGCTCCCGTTGTGCCCGACGAAAACATGATGAAGAGCGGGTGGCTGAAGGCCAGCTGCTCGAACTCCAGCTGCGGGGCTTGGTCGCCTTGCCCGGTGGCCAGGAAATCCTCCAAGAACACGCTGTGGGCAGAAAGGCACAGGAGAACAACGGCGAAGCTTCTAGAACGTTGCAGGGTGGGGGGCACTCTGCCGAGTCCTCCCATTCGTTCCCCTCCATGTCTACCTGGATGAGAGCCTGGACGCTGGGACCCACCTGTCTGAAAGCTTTTGTGAGGGAAGGGAGAGTCAGGGCTCACGGACTACGCTAACTGAAGGAAAATGGAGTGAAATTTTCGCTTTATTAGTGCCACTGACAGGGACCAAGGGCTTTTCTCCCGAGAGTCTAAGTGCTTTAATATTAAACACAGCAGAGGGGGACTGCTTACAATTAACACGCTGGCTGTTTATGTGCAAATTCTGCAGAGGGGGGGCTCTGAACTGATGCTGGAGTCCTTAGAATTCAGGCGCCTCCCATTTGCTACTTACCATCTGACTAGCAAGTGCCTTGTTCCCCAGGTCCCCCAAGGGGAAGTGAGAGCCAAGTGGGCCTGAATCCTTCCTTCCCCCCACCCCCATCTCCCCAGCCCCTAGGAGAAGGGAGAGAAGGAGGTGACAGGTTTAGAGGTCTCTTCTGACATGTAAAGGTCACAGCAAGAAGGTGGGATCAAGGTCCCACACGAGAGTTTCTATGACAGAAATCCTGCCAGACAATGATCCTATTCTCACTGAATCCCTATATCCTGAGGTTTACAATGGCCAGATGCAAACATCTGTCCAGGAACAAGTAAGATTCAGCCCAGCTGTCGGCTCTGGCCTAAACAGCCTGCCCTCAACTGTGCCCCCAAAGCTGACGCAAAGCCTCACTGCATGTGATCAGTGGCCACCGAAGGGGCTGTTTTCTGAGCAGAAACAGGACAGCAGAAGCCACAAAGCCACGTTGGGAGACAGGTGATTTCTCTCTTTTGAGATCAGCAGGAAAAAAATCAATCCCTGAACCCCAGCCCTGTTGCTCCACTGGTTTAGAAGGGAGAGAGGGGAGAGAGAAGAAAACAAACAAAGCTACCGTTTTGACAAATGGAACTTGCTTTCAAGGAAAGGGGAGAACTCAGTTCAACTTGGCTGGCAACAAACTGCCAATGATGATGACTCTGAAATATTTTCAAACGCATGCACACTCGAGTGAAGAACTGTGCTGGCTCGCATGGGAAGGCACCCTTAACGATGAGCCTGCCTCCTGGGGGGGGCGCGGCCATTTGAAAAGGGGACCCCAAATAATTCAATTCTGAGCAGCAAATAAGCAGAGTCCTCTCCAGAGTGTCAGGAAAATTATTCACTGTGGAACCCTCAAGCCAGTGAAAGCCCCCACCTCCCATCCGAATCCCATTTATATAAAGGGCCCGATCTAATCAGATGCTTCACACAGAGAAAAACCTCTGCTTTCCACTAGTCTGTAAATCACAGTAAATAGTGATGACTTTTGCTGTTTCTTCTAAAAATGAAAAGCCAAAAGGGCGGTCCCGTTACAGGTCTCTGCACACAGGCACAGACATGCTTTCAGTTTATCTATGGCACCCAGCAACTGAAAGCTGGAAAGCAACGGGGCCTGATTCCCAGGGTGGACCGGTGGGGAGGGAGGGCTCCCCGCATTGTCTGGAGCTAAATGAAGTGGTGGATGTTAATTCTCCCGGATGCTCTCATTTTACACCAATCACCGATAAACACATACAGAAAAATAAAAGCCAGGCCACTGTAGGGCCAGCAAACCATCATGTGTTCCTCCTGGCCTCTGTGCATTATGGCTCCATCGATAAAACCAAGGAGGGGGAGGGAGGTGGGAGGGAGGTTTAAGAAGGAGGGGACATACCTATGGCTGATTCATATTGATGTATAACAGAAACCAACACAATATTGTAAAGCAGTTATCCTTCAGTTAAAAATAAATAAATTTTTTAAAAGGGAACTAAGGTTGGGTGTAATTTATCAAGGTCGGCTGGGTTCCCACAGTCTCAGGGACAAGCCCACGCCCCCGGGCTGGCCTGTTAGGGACCTACATGTCCTGATCCGGGTGCTCCAGAGGACACAGCTCACTCCAGTCTGGGCTGTCACCTGCTCATAATGACAGACAACATTACTGACAGCTAACTTCGTGCACACTGCTCAGCCTGAGAGGAAAGTTCTATTATCCCTACTTTACAGATGGGGGAACCCAGACACAGCAAGGTTGATCGCTGGTCCAGGGCCGCACAGCTGACATATGACCCAGAGCAGTCTGGCTGGAGGCCACAGCCTTCAGGGAGACTTTGCTGCAGCTCCTTTCAGCCTCTGGAATCCTGGTACCTGCAGCTATCCCCCGATCTGCGCCACCTCTCAAGGTCACTTCAGGTGTCGCCTCCCCCAGGTTCCACAAAGAAGCAACTGTGCTCATGTCTCACTTCCTGGGCACTGCCTGTCCCCTGACTCAGCGAGCATGGCTGTGTCTACTGGGATCAGTGGTCACAGCTCACCCTTCCTACAGATGTGCCTTACCCCCGAGCTTGACTGTAAACTTGGGGACAGCACATGAACTTTATCCTGCTCAGTGCCCCAGGAGGTGCCTGGATAGACCCACTCAGCCATGTCCACCCAAGAGCAAGGCCTCCAACACCCCCTCGCTCGCTGCACACAGCACACACAGGAATCCCACCTGTGGCTCTGAGGCTGCTCAGAGACTCTTGCCCACAGTCCAGACACGAGGCTAAACGGATAGGTTTACCTGCGCAGGTAAACACGTCTGATCTCAGAAGTCTCTCCTTGGGACTTTCCTGGCAGTCCAGAAGTTAAGACTCTGCACTTTTACTGCAGGGGGCACGGGTTAGATCCCTGACCCGGCACTAAGATCCCACAAGCCAAGAAGCGTGTCCCAAAAAAACCTACCTCTCTTCAGTGATCTCTTTAAGAAAGATGAAAGGTGGACAATAAGACCTTCAGGAAGAACCTCTACTTGGAGCAAATCATAATCCATTTTATTGATGCTTATTCAGAATTAAGGTGCTCACCATTCTATTCAGTGCTCAAGGCCTGAAATCTCTTAGCTTATGCATGTCAGAAGAGGAAAGGAAGATGCCCTTAACAAGGGGGACAAAAAACAGGTTCTAAAATGAAAAAATATGTATTAAGCATGTGAATGGCAACCCACTCCAGTATTCTTGCCTGAGAATCCCATGCACAGAGGAGCCTGGCGGGATCCATGGGGTTCTGAAGAGTCAGACACAACTGAGTGACTAACACTAACACCAGCATTCCTTTGTATATATGCATATATATACACACACATGCATGCACATATACATACATAGACACCATATACATATACACAAAAGTGCACACGTGTCTGTAAACACACACATCCACACACATATGCACGTGTGGATACACTTTAGACACTATTCAGAACTGCTGTGGCCAAATGGCCTGGACCCATCCAAGCTCACCACCACTTCCGAGGGACAAGAGGAAGAGTGAGGATGCCTGGGACAGGCTGTTCTGCCACTACGTCACCATGTGGCCCCGAGGGACTCCCTCTGGCCTCCAGTGCCCATCTACAGAATGATTTTTTTTTTTGGCTGCACCAGCAACAGGTCGCAGTTGCAGCACTCAAGATCTTTTCTTGTGGTGCACGGACTCTCTAGTTCTGGCTAGCGGGCTTAGTTGCTTTGCAGCATATGGGGTCTTAGTTCCCAGATCAGGGCTTGAACCCGAGTCCCCAGCACTGAGGGGTGGATTCTTAACTCCACCAGAGAAGTCCCTATGGAATGACAATTTTTAACAAAGATACCCTGCATCTCCAAGATGCTCCCACTCCAACTGGAAAGAGTTACAGAACCTGCTGCCCGGTGGGGCCGTGACTGTGTTCCATGTGGAATTAGTGATCAGCATGTGGCTGGCTCACCTATTTGGAATCTTGGAGATGTCTATCTTCTCTCTGGAGGAGATGTAAGGAATCAGTACCACTTTTTTCAGGTCTGGTAGTCCTAAAAGCAGGAGAAGAACACACAAGCTTATAGACCCTGACAAACTTAGTCACTGATCTTTCTCTTTTTTGATGAAATGTAAACAACCTAGGGCTGGGACTGCTCCATTTTTGTAGCTCACAGCTCCCAGGGACTCTTGCCCCTGCACCCCGCCCCCCACACCAGCCCACGCACCCTTAACGACCCGCTGCAGCTTGTCCATGTGGTTGTGCTCTTTGCCATTATACACTACGGCCTCCACGGAGAAGATGAGCTTCGGCTGGATCTGAGAAAACCGGTCCAGAACGCCCTGGGGTGGAAGGAGAGAGCCATTGTTGTACAACTTCCCGGGAGGTCCCAGGGTTAAGAATCCGCCCTCTGATGCAGAAGACACGAATATGATCCCTGGTTATGAGAAGGGGATGACAGAGGATGAGATGGTTGGATGGCAACACCGACTCAATGGACATGAGCTTGAATATACTCCAGGAGTTGGTGAAGGACAGGGAGGACTGGTGTGCTGCAGTCCATGGGGTCGCAAAGAGTCAGACATGACTCTGCGACTGAACTGAACCGAACTGATGACCTAAGATCCCACTTGCCCCGGAGCAGCTAAGACCACCCACTGCAAACTACTGAGTCTGCAGAACATAACCCCTACCCCACCCCACCCATGCAAAAAGAAACACCATTAATGCTCAAGGAAACATCACTGCTCATCCAAAAGGCAAAATCTCCCAGCAGCCCATGGGACCACTGTATCTTCAGGGAAAGAAAAAGGAGCATGACCACCATGCCAGCCATGTCCCTGCATTCCCATCACCTGGAGGCCAAGAAAGACAGCCAAGCAAACCAGACACGCACCCGAGACAGGATCATTACTTCACAGAAAGCATCAATGCAAAGAACACCAGATGGACTCACAGATACACACTGAGTCTATCAAATGGGAAAACAACATGGTGTTTGCACCACCACAATGGTTCCCCACTTTACAGAAAGAACCTTCCAACACGGCTCCTCTGGCATTTGTAAGGGAAGGCTCACCTCCCGAAAAGGAAGCTCTGTATGCAAAGTGGTCTGAAAGTTTGGTTCTCCTTTGATCTTCAATGACAGAGGTACCTGAATCCTCCAAATGACACTTTTTGCCAAGCAAATGGATAAAACCATAAACATGTACACTCATAAACCAGCCCATTTGAAAAAGCAGGCTCTCCACCCCCAGCAAGTCCGTTTACACCACACACGGAATCACCATCCCCCTCAAGCACATCCTTCTCACTGAGAGAAGGCACACCTCTCATGCACACACAAAACTGACAGGTGTAGCCTCGAGACACACTAATACAACCTGCACGCAGCCCTGAGGGTGACAGGCACAGGCTCTCACAGTCTCCCCTCCAATTCCCCTTCCAGCCTGCCAAATTCAGACTATGGCACAGCCATCTTCATCACAAAAACAGCTTCTGGGAAGGCATCACCGGACTCCAGATTCCTGGACCAGCACGCTTGGTCCCTGGCATGTAAGCCCAATGTAGCAGCTCAAGGTCAATGCCTGGGGCTACTCCAGGGGTGTCAGGGATGTCAGAACCCCTGTGTGAGGGTCTGATGGATAGGGTCTCCACCCTGGCTGCAGGATACAGGCCACCTGTGGCAGGACGACTAAACTCACCGGGTAACTAATTAACTGGCCTGGAGTGGCCCAGGCGCTGCTTCTCAGAGTTCCCCAGGAGTCGGCAAAGCACGTGCTTAAGACAAGGGGAAGCCAGAGCCCCTAGGAATGGTCTTGGTGACAACAGTGTTGAGGTGGCCTGACAATCTGGGCTTTCACAAGCCCCTCAGGTGATTCTAACGCATGATAAAATTTGTGACTCTCTGGGCTAAAGAGTGAAGAACTGAGATTCTACTTTCAATGTCATCCATTTTCAAGACATGGTGCCACGCAACCAGAGTTCCTTGTCGTTGGAACATACAGTCTATCTGGGGGAAAAGTAGCAAAGCAATTAAATGCTACTGTTTCTAATTTCCAATTGGTTTCAGTGAACTACACTCATGGTTTAGGTAGCCAGGAAAACAAAAAGATAGAAGGAAGGAATAAAGTCATAAGGAAAAATCAATGATGGATTTGATCAATAAAACCAAACTCTATTTTCCAAGAAGATCAATAAAATAAGCCTCTTGACAAATGTGATCGAGAAGACAGATAATATTTCTAGCTAACACTTACACGGTACTTATTACGTATCAGACACTGTCCTGGGCACTTTACTAATATTCACTCATTCAGTGCTCTGACACAGCATTATTATCCCCATATTACAGATGGATAGACCGAGGCCTACAATCATCCAAAGTCAGAAATCACACTTTTCTACAGAAAGATTAATTAATGACAAAGCACTATGTTCAGTGTTGTTAAATTGCCAAAAGCCAGATGAAGAGGATGATTCCCCAAGAAGACATAAATTTATCAAAAATGATCTAAGAAGCAGTAGAACACGTGAAGAGACAATAACCATGAGAGAAAAAGCAGTCAAAGGTCTACCTCTTAACACAGACACCAGGGAAGGACAGAACTGCACGCAAGTGTCGCCACATCCTCCAGCACTAGAACGTTCCTTTTATATAAACCATTTCAAAAGATAGAAAATGACAGAGAACAAGCAAACAGAAAAAGAGATTGCCAACCAATGTAATTTACCACACTAACAGATTAAAGGGGGGGAAAACTTCTGATTATCTTAAAAGCTTTCACTTTCCTCACACAAAGCTTTACTAAGCTGGACACTTCCTCACTGACAAACGGTGTCTCACAGAAGTCTATGGCAAATACGTCGCTCTTGATGGAAGAGAGTCCTGGTAGGACATCCCAGGCGGTCCAGTGGTTAGGACTCTGAACTTCCACTGCAGGGGGCCCAGGGTCGATCCCTGGTTTGGAGCTAAGATCCAGAATGCCGCAGCATGGCCAAATAAAAAAGCATCCTGGCAAAAAGCAGAAACCAGCTTCCGTGCCCAGACTGCCACGGTGTCCTGGAGTTCCAGCCAAGCCAGGAGCTGGGAGCTGGTAGAAAGGAGCCACGCAGCAGACAATAGAAATGGCTATGTTGAAAAAAGCCCTTGAGAAACACCAGGAGAACCAAGAGAACTGGGTTAGGCAAGGTGGCCACTTACAAACTCCACAGAGCGGCACTTCCCTGGTGGTCCAGTGGTTAAGACCCTACACTTCTACTGCCGGGGATTCAATCCCTGGTTGGAAACTAAGATCCCACATGCCAAGCAGGGCATGGGAAAAAAAAAAAAAGAGGGAGAGAGAGAGAAAACAACAGCAAGCTCCACACAGCAAAATAAACAGTATTCCTGGACCCCAGGGTTTTAAGAGGGGCGGACAGTCCTCACTTAAGCTGGGAAGAAAATTTTTGCCTACAAAAACATCTACATGTACTGAGCGTTCAGCATCCACCTTTCCAGCTGGTGGCAGGCACTCAGGCATCTGACTTCATGTCCCCAGCAGCAGGCTGGGGCTATGGTCAGCTCCACACTCTTGCTGAGGCAGGACCAGCATCATCTGCCCAAAGCTTCACAACCTGCCAGCGGCAGAGCTGGGGTTGCAGGCTGCTCCATCTGCCACGGGGGCTGGTGCTCTTAACCACAGCACTGCCTCTACCAAGGAAAGACTGACCCTCAGGACAGGAAAGCGACCGGGCAGCAGAAAAGAGCCAGGGCAGGGGTCCCCAGACTGAATCAGGAGGAGGAAGCAAGAACCACGGCCAGAGCATCCCAGGAAGCCTCCAGAGAGCACCTCCGCTCAGGGGCATCAGGGGAGCAGGCTTCACAGTCAGGTGGAAGGGGAGCGGCAGTTCTGAGCTGAGGGTGCCACGATAAGAGCCCAGGGCAGGGGGAACCAGCCCAGGGAAGGGAAAGAACTTCCAGAAAGTCTGGGGCCAAGGAGGAGCAGGATGGGGTCAGACAGGAGCCCTGGAAGGCGGCAGGAATTTCTACATGACACCTAGCATCCTTCTGGTGACTAGCCCACACAGGTAGAAGGACCAGAGAGCAGTGACTTGGGGCCCAGACATCACAGGGAGAAAAAGCAGACAGCAAAGACAACAAGTGTTTCAGAACCAGAGGTCAGAACTGGGCACCATGGAAAGACTCAGAGACCCCACGACACGGTGGTGGGTTCCTGGTGGGTCAAGCTGGGATCTCTGAGCATCAGAAACCAGCTGTTGGTCTATTCCGATCCAGGAGAGGGCTGCTCATTCCTGACTGCTCTCATGTTACAATGAAACGAACACACCTGTGATCATGCAGCTGACCTGATACGGCGCTTAGCAACCAACCCAGCGCTGTAACCAACAGCCAGGCCAGTGCTGGATCACATGACAGCCACCCAGAGTGAGAACAGCTCTACTGATGTTCATGTAGGTACATGTGTGCACAGGTACACACATACACACACATAGCAACCTGAAAGCATTCTGTAAGAGGAAGGGCTACAGGCTACTGGCCTGGCTCTTGGATGTGTGGATATCAAAGGCTGAACTACCCTAGCATCTCTGAAAAAGCCACCTATTCAAAGGTAAACAGTGACACAAAGGAAAAACCAAATGTCAACACACACAGGACCTGGAGGTCTTGGTGAGGCTGGAAGGTTGGGGACCTGAAGAACAAGCACCCCACCCACCTGGAGATGTCCCTGAGCCCACTGGGGGGGGTGGGTATTCAAGCAGAGAGGGTGGGAGAAGTGGAACGGATGGGAAGAAGGGTGAGGTGATGGGCAGGGGTAGGGCAGACCAGACCCAAGGGGTGTCAAGGGAAGTGAGAAATGGCCCCCAGCATCCTCAAGCAAAAGCTGCATCCCCACCCTGCCCCAGAACATCCCATGCAGACGGGCACATGGCCTGGCAACAGAGGGGGTCCTGTCATCACCAGCCTGGCTAGGCGAGGAGGATTCATTCATGGGCAGGTAAGTCCACATGTATGGAGACCCTAGCCCCATACCTGTAAACTGCCCAGTAACTATCCCCACTGCGTGTGCCACAGGACTAGAACCTACTTCATAGTCACTAACGATGTAATCCCGTCACATAAAAAAAGTTAAAATCAGTATTTACAAGAGAGTGGCAATTTTCCCTTTATTATGGGAATTTTCAGTGATCTGCAACAGAAAATGAGTCAAAGTAGGAAAAACATTTGTACTTCACTGCAAATTTCATAAACTGACCCTTTACGGAAACTGGAGGACCATCTAAAAATGGTGATGCCAGAAATTGAAAACAGTAGCCTCTTTTTTGTTTATTTATTTGGCTGCACTGCAGGCCATGCAGGACCTTTAGTTGCAGCATGTGGGGTCTAGTTCCCTGCCCAGAGATCAAACCCGGGCCCTCTGCACTGGGAGCACATTCTTAGCCACTGGACCACCAGGGAAGTCCCCAGGAGCCTCTTTTTTAAGTAGATTCGCACACCGCTGAAGAGGACTGTCGCAGGCCCACAGGACTCCCCTTTCCCACCCCAGGCCCCATCTCATCATTAACTCGCAGTGCTTTCCTGCAGGTTTTAGCTACTGGAAGAAAACAGAGAAGATACCTGAGGCTCTGGGGTCCTGCTTTCTACCAGGTCCTTGCTGTGTTTAGTTGCTCAGTCGTGTCTAACTCTTTGCAAACCCATGGACTGTAGCCCACCAGGCTCCTCTGTTCATGGGGACTCTCCAGGCAAGAGTACTGGAGTGGGTCTCCACGTCCTCCTCCAGGGGATCGTCCCAACCCAGCCAGGGATCGAACCCAGGTCTCCCACATTACAGGTGGATTCTTTACCATCTGAGCCACCAGGGGAGCCTACGGGTATCGATGCCCACATGAGCAAGTGCTGTGGTCCAGGTTACTTGGACCAGGGCTTCCTGGACACAGGGCTCACCCATGGGAGCTGACAGGTGGTACCAGCAGCCGGGGGGGCCCTGAAGTCACCAAGCTGATACATGAACTGTTAGCTGCTCAACACTCACTCCCGAAGACTGTGTGCATGACTGTCTGCCTCTGGCTCTACACAAGGGGCTCAGCAAAATGAGGACCACCTCCCAGAACTCAGGGCAAAGTGAAGCAAGCATCTTAGTAGAAAGATGTTTGGCCCTATCATTTTCTAATGGAATGGAGGGCTCTCCCCAGACTTAGGCTGTCGCGTGGCAAAGATTTCCCTGAATCAAATGTGCTGAAGGTCGAGGTCAGAGCAGAGCCACGCTGCCATCTAGTGCGCACGCGCGTCCGACAACAGCCGCCACATCAGAAAACCCAAACCAGCCTCAACCCAGGGAAGGAATGCCTGGGACACCCTCCAGCAGTACCCACGGGCTGCGTCCTCTACACTACAGGACCTCAGGCCAGAGTCAGCCGGAGTGGCCGGTGGTGGTGACATTCCGCACAGGACAGGCTCATGAGAACAGGCGCGGGGTCAGGGCCAGCTGCTGATGCTACAAGCAAGTGGGAGGTACCCTGACCCCTAAGGCCGCCCGCCCTGCACCTGGCGGCTCAGACCTGCCACAGAGGCCAACTCAGGACCTCTACTCTCTGAAGCTTGTGACGCCCTCAGGCACAAGCTTCAGTCAGGCTCCAGATGGTCACAGCCGCATCCTCCTGCCACAGAGCTCTGCCAACATCTCTACAACTGCTTACAAGTTCCAGTTCACTCAGAAACACCCGCCCCTCCGGACTTCCCCGAAGGTCCGGTGCCTAGGACCCTGCGCTCACAATGCAGGGGGCCTGGGTTCAATCCCTGGTCAGGGAACCAGATCCCACATCAGGAATGCTCAGGGGTGGGTCAAGGGCTGTCCCAACCTTAGATGGGCGTCACTGCTGCTGTCGTCACAAGCCCCCTGCGGTGTGTCCCCAGGAATGGGAGCCTGGAAGCAGCAGAGCCCGACTCAAACCCGGGCAGGGGCCTGCTTGCTGGTAACCTCCATGCCACATGCCTTCTCCAACCCCGAGGCACCTTCACCACTTCCGGGCAACACAGCTCAAGGGCTGCTAAGGGATTCAAGGACAAGAGTGCCCAGGGACGGGCTCCCACAAGGATGGCCCGGTCCCAAGCTCACATGGCCCCACAGAGGACCTTGGGGATCGAGAAGTCACCCCGGAGCTTCAATCTCAAGTTGGTCCTGGAGGAAGGTGATCTGGCAGAGGCCCAGCAAAGCCCCAGGAGGCACAATCACGGCCACCGGTGACGAGGGCCGGGATGACCACCCTCTCCCTGAACTCAGCAGGGCTCGGTCCTCACCCCATGGGGCAAGGACTGGCCTCGACCAATCACTTCACTGCTCCAGGCTTCCATGTCACAGAGGCACATCTGTCCCTCCTCTGAGTGGCGCAGGGGAAAATAAGAAGTACCGTGAAATCTTTTCCAGAAGAGCAAGCCTCAGGACAGACATCGGTGTCAAGCTCACACACAAAATGCCTGGCCCATGGATCAGGCACATGGGTCACAGAGCAAGGCTGGAAAAGCGCCATCACTGCATCTATTGTCCAAGTGTACCAACCCTCCCACACCAATCATGGCCCCACATGGTCTACACTTGTTTCATGAGACTCTCTCTTTCCACTGTCCCTGCCTCACACATGAGGATAAACAACTCGCCTAGGGATGTACAGCCCGCAAAGCCAGGCCAGCCCTTAGCCCCTGGGCTGCTCTGACAGATGCCCAGAGCTGGGGCCATGCCTAGGGCAAAAGAAGAGCAGTCTGGGAAGATGCCCACCATGTCCTCTAACAGGGGACTGTCTCGTGGCTCTGCAACCAGGAGAGGTCCCTGATCGGGAAGTGGGGAGTCCCAGGAAGTCCTGCTCGACTGTTCCTTCCTTCCCCGTGTGGGGCTCAGCTTCCTGCCCCTGCCTGGGTCACTCTACAGCTGGTGCCCACCTTGCTCCCGGGTACCCTCCAGGTTTAAGGGAATAAAAAGGCTCAACCCGCTCCCACATAGGGTGCAAAGCTCAGGCCCAAAGTAAGAGATGAGGGCTTCCCTGGTGGTCCAGTGGTTAAAAATCCATCTTGTAATGCAGGGGACACAGATTTGCTCCCTGGTCTGCAAAAATCCCCCACGCCACAGACCAACAAAGCCCGTGTGCTGCAACTATTGCACCTGTGCACCTACAGCCCATGCTCCACAACAAGAGGAGCCACCGAAATGAGAAGCCTGCTCACAGCAACCAAGAGTAGCCCCCACGCACTGCAACTAGAGAAAGCCCTCATGTGGCAATGAAGACCCAGCGCAGTCAAACACAAATAAATAATTTTAAAAATACTTTTTAAAAAGTAAGAGATCAGAAATGGCAATGTTGGAGGCCTTGGAGGAACTTCTGTGAGCAAATCTGGAAAACAGTCTGCAGAGGATAAATATCCTGCAGAGGATAAACTTCATGTGGGCATGAGGTCACCAGAGCAGCCGTCGGGCACTTCTTACTGGATGCTCAGAAGACTGCCCATCATAGGTAACGCACACCAATGTAGCCAATACACATGGCTGGACATGAGGAACAGTAAAGGAAGGAAGGAAGAATCATTTACTTATAGACTTAAGAGAAGATTTGGCTCTGGACTCTACCGATGGCGCAGTGGTTAAGACTCCACCTGCTAATGCATGGGTCACAGATTCGATCCCTGGTCCAGGAATATCCCTTATGCTGTGGAGCAACTTAGCTCATGCACCTCAGCTATTGAGCCCACATAGTCTAGAGCCCCTACTCTGCAGCAAAAGAAGCTATTGCAATGAGAAACCTGTGCACTGCCAATAGAGTAGCAGCCCCTGCTCGCAACAACTAGAGAAAGCTCAAAAGCAGCAATGAAGACCCAGCATGGCCAAAAGTAAGCTAATTAATTAATTAAAAAAAAATATTCAGCTCCTTCTCTCCCATGGATCACAAGTCACTGGCTGGGGAGACGGGAGGTCATAGTGAAGCCGTTTTCCTCCCCATCTTGCTGGTCTCACCCTGCAGCTGCCCACATCCTGACCCAAGATATCAGGCAGAAATCACAAGGAACGACCCCCTGCAGGGGCAGCACACCCAGGGCACTTGAGGGGACCCCGACTCACATTCACGCCAAAGTCTGGGGACGTGGAACTCCAGATGGCCCCAATGCTCGCAGCTGCCAGCATGGCCTCTATGGCGTGCGCACTGTTGGGCAAGTAGCCTGTGGAGAGGACACAGGGAGAACATTTGGTCAGGGTGCGAAGATGCAGAAGACTTCCAAAAGCACCTCCTAGAGCCAGGGTGAGAGTGGAGAAGGGCTGGCTGTGAACAGCTCACAGAGTAGGGCCAGGCCCACTCCACCCACCTGGACAGCTCCTGCTCAGATGCCGCAATCACTTGCTGCCAGCCTGACCACTTCCTGTCATCACCCCGCCAACCCACTCCAATCAGTGACCCCCACAAGATACAGTCTGGTCTCTTCTCCCTCAGCTCTGGCACTCACTCTGGGCTCAGTCACAATAGCCTGCCTTCAGTTCTTCAGTTGTTTGAAGCTCCTGCTGCCTCAGGGCCTTTGCACAGGCTGCATGAGCTGTCTAGACACTCCCACCCACACCAGCCTTTCCTACTGGGCTCACACTCATCCTTCAGCACTGAATGCAAATGAAACTCCTGCAGGGAAGCCTTCTCTAAGGGCACTCCATGAACTCAGGTGCCCTGGCCAGTCACTCACAAAGCATGCCATATTTCTCCCTCACCAGATTTACCATAATAATCACCTAAGGAAAATCATAACTGGCAACTTATAACTGGTTCTCTTGTGAGGGCTGGGACTTTGACTGTCTTGCTCTGCTTTACCAAATGCCTTCTGTCACACCCTGCAGATCAAAGCCCTCTGGTAGGCCAGTGGGTGGATGTTTGGATGGAGGGAGGAGAGGTGAGGCTGTAGGGGAATGAATACAGAGCAGAGACGTATACAAGCCTGAAAGGGGCTCAGGCCCGTCTTCAAGCAGAAGGCTGGGCTTCTACAGTAATAGAGGCAGAGAACCTTTACAGCCAAAGAGACTATGATCGATTAGACAGATTGCCTTAAATGCTCGAGGAAAGGATCTGGGCACAGGGCACCCAGGGACACAAGGGCCACGGCCTCCCCCAAGCATGGCTCCCTGGTTACACAAAATCCCTCTCTGCTTCAGCACCCCAGGTGCCCTGGACAGCTCTTCTCCTGCTTCTCCTCCCGCAGCTCTGAACTGCCTATTTGACAACGGTCGTGGGTACTTCATTTCTATGGGTTCACCGCATCTCCCAGGCTGGGTGTCCTGGGGACACAGGTCCTACATCACTCACTCAGCAGCCAGGCTCCACCCAGCCCTGGCACATGTCAGGCTCGTTGACAGCCATCTGCTGCTGAGGAAAGAGTTGGCTGTGAATGTAACTGAAGTGTCTCCACCGTGCCACTGCCTGGGGAAGGGCGAGACTCACCACCCAGGGAGGCTGTGTGACCCTGCTGGCTTTGACACACAGCCAGGAGATGCCCAATTCACAGATGAGGAAGAGTCGTGAGCAGCTCTAACTACATCCTCAAAGCTCTCCAAGCATCTCTCCATTCAAGCCCCTCTGCACTGGGTTCCTCACACTCACTTCCAGGAAGCACAGTCCTCAGTCCTAGTAACTGCCATCAGGTCAAATCAGTGCTCGAGCTGTGACACTAAGAAGTGGGGGTCAGTCACCCAGCACCAGCCTGACGCTGAGGAGCCAAGAGCACGGGAGCAGGCGTCCCCCAAAAAAGCATGGCCAAGAGATGCCCCCGTATACCCTGTTTTCTGTTTCTCCTTCTCAGAAGTATTTACTTCAAAGGGAAATTTTTGAAAATAAAAATTGGAGGGGAGAAGAATTACTGGAGGGTAGAAGAACCTCTTGAGTTCCTTTTCTAGGCAGATTAAATTGGACCACAGAAAACCCAAATTATTGTGGTTTCAACCACAAAAATGCCTGCTCTGACCCAGTACTCTCACGCAGCCATCACTCAATAAATACTCATTCTACACCTACTGTGTGCCAGGCCCCCCACGGACTGAGGTGGGGCATGAACAGAAGACAAAGCCTCGTCCTCTAGTCCTGGAGGACAGACAGACAGACATGTGCGCGCACACACACACACACGTAATCCTGTGACTTCAGGGAGCCAGTAAGGCGACAGATGTAAATAAAGTGAGGTGAAGAGAGAGTGGCAATGGATTTCTGCACAGGACGGCAGGGCCGGCCCCTGAGCAGAGACCTCAGTGAACCAGGGCGAATCCTTGGATCTACAGGGAAACACTCCATCCAAGGCTGAGACAGGCAGCAACGTGGGAGTCATGGCCCTTCCTATAGATTCCTTTCCAGTCAGCTAACACTCAGTGAGCACTTGCTCCACACCTGGCTCCATCATCCAGGAAGTCTCAGGGTCCAGCCCTTTCACATGGCTTACCCCAGGGTAAGGCCACTCTCTCCACAAACACACGCCTGAGCGCCAACTTTCAGTGAGGCCCCGGGAGAGGGGGATGGGTAACGGTTATACCAACATGCCCGGCGGCTTCTCCTGCTGATGCCCTGGCCTGTGGTCCCGGTCCCACGACCCCTGGGGGCGGGGAGGGCAGCCTCACAGCTGGACCCCCAGGCCTCGTGGACTTTAGAGCCAGAGGAGACCAGTGATCAAATAATCACAAAAACCAAACAGAAGATTACTTGGGTTGGCCAAAAAGTTCACTTGGGTTTTTCTGCAAGCTGCTTGGCCAATCAAATACCAACGACACATTCTCTGAAGACAGAGGATGAGATGCCGACAGAGGGTCCAATGGGGGCAACCAGGGGACTTCCCTGAGAGACACTATTCGCGAGTAGTTACAGGCCAGTGGGAGGAGGCTGGCGCCCCACAAAGGATCTGCTGGACACTTAGGAGGACAGCAGTCAGGGAGGGACTGAGGAAAGGCGAGGGTGTGAGGAGGCAGGGAAGGAAGCAAGAATGCAAGGCCTGTGCAGACCTGCCCCTGGAGGGCAGCAGGAGCTAGTCAGCTTCTGATCAGGGGACCGACACCCTCGGTGCCACGGGGTTGGCGCCTTGAGCAAAGCCGTGTGGCCAGAGGACAGAGAAGCTCTCTCTTTTGGTTTAAGAATGAGATCTGATGTCTGATCCTGGAAGGAACAACTTAAACGATGACCCCCAGCATCACAGCAAAAAGCACAGAGTCCCAGCTGGCTGTGGACCGGAAGTTGTCCCTGGACGCCTCCTCGTTACTGGCCGCACCCGGGATGCTGGAGGATGGGCAGGACTGAGAAGGCACTCCTGACTTCTCCACCCACGAGACACCCTGTACAACCAGCCAGGTCAGGCTCTCTGCCGCCCTATTTAAAGATGAAGAAACTCGAGGTCCAGGGGAGGAGGAATTTCTCGTTCAAACTCACAGGCCCAAAGGCAGCACCAAATACAGAAAGCAGGCCACCTGACTCCAGGGAGCCTGGTACCCTCGAAGCTGCTAAACAAATTCCCACCAGGAAAGACTACGTGGGAGAAGCCACGCTGAGTGAGGAAACCCTGGTGGGGATCCCCAGGGACAGGGTGGCCACCAGCCTGGCATGGGGAAGCTGGGACCCAGGGGCCTACTCCTATGCTGTAGTGCCAAACAGTTACAGTCAATTGTTTAACAGATCTGTGATGAGGTGTCCTGGCCATGAAATTTCATGCCTCAGTATTAAGTAACTCGGGGAATTCCATGGCGGTCTAGTGGTTAGGACTCCACTCTTTCGCTGCTGAGGGTCCAAGTTCAAGACCTGGTCAGAGATCTAAGAATCCACAAGCAGCATGGCCCCAAAAAAATAAATAAATGAAAGTAACTCCTTGTTTAAAATAATCTCCAGAGGCCAAGTATTTTCAAATACTTTATGTTAACAACCTTGTGAACTGAAGCTGTCTGCATGCATGCATGCTAAGTCGCTTCAGTTGTGTCTGACTCTTTGCAACCCTAATGGACTATAGCCCTCCAGGCGCCTCTGTACATGGGATTCTCCAGTCAAGAATAGTGGAGTGGGTTGCCGTTTCCTTCTCCCAGGGATTAAACCCGAGTCTCTTGCATCTCCTACAATGGCAGATGAGTTCTTTACTGCTAGCACCACCTGGGAAGCCCTCTCGATTAACACCCAGTTTTTTATAATGAGATTCCTTCCACATTTAAAAAAAATGAATTAGTGAATTTTCTCCCCTGGACCTCCGTTTTTCATCTGGGAAACGAGCAGGTTGGCAGCACCATCCCTGACATCTGTGCGGCGGAGGAAATCAGTCAGGTGAGTCTCCACTGATAAAACTCCCTCTGCTGGGTTTTCGGGATCAGTCTACAGTCATGTCAGCATAAGCAGCGGAAATCACAGAATGGAAACTACCCTCCGACATTCCTCTGGAAAGCATCGCGTTGGAGGTGGGCAGATCCAGAAAATGCAGCAGCCAGCTTTTCCCGGCCTTGGAAGGGTCAGTGGTAAAGAACCCAAATGCCAGTGCAGGAGACACAGGAAACTCAGGTTCGATCCCTGGGTCAGGAAGATCCCCTCGAGAAGGAAAGGGCAACCCACTCCAGTATTCTTGCCTGGAAAATCCCATGGACAGAGGAGCCTGGTGGGCTACAGCCCATGGGGTCGCAGAGAGTCAGACATGACTGAGCATGCATGCAGCTGATGAACTCTCTGGCTTGTATTTCATTTAAGGACTACGTTTTGGAACCTCCCTGGCAGTCCAGTGGCTAAGACTCAGTGCTCCCAAAGCAGGGGGCCCAGGTTCAATCCCTGGTTAGGGAACTAGATTCCATGTGCCACAACTAAGAGTTTATATGCCACAATTAAAGAGCCTGTGCGTCGCAACTAAGAGTGGGCATAGTCACATAAATAAATAAAATTTTTTTTTTTTTAAGGACTATGTTTCATTAAAAAAAAATACACAGCTGTGAACACTGGCTCCCACGCAGCATGAAGACACACTCACGCTAGGGCTGGGAGCTGAGGACCCTCACAGCCCAGCTCACTCCCGCCAGGCAATACTTTCAGTGATGGTCCTTCCTGGTCTAGTTTGTGCAGTACACGTATATATAAGGCCATGAACAACCTGACTCAACTCCACTGTATTTCTTCCCAGCCACTCCCCTGTTCCCATGGTGACAGGAGCCAGAAATACCCACCAACCACCCGGTCTCCTCTTCTCACGCCCATCTTCCTCATCGCTGCTGCAAACAAAGCCACCTGTTGCCGCAACTCTTCAAAAGTCACCTTCACGATCTCCTCCTTGCCTTCTCCTGGGAAGAGGAAAGGGACAGGTCATCCATGGACTGTCCTAAAAAGAGAGGCTCTGATCTTCGAAAAAGACACATGTACCCCAATGTGCACAGCAGCTCCATTTACAATAGCCAGGACATGGACGCAAACTAGATGTCCATCGACTCATGAATGTATAAAGAAGATGTGGTACATATACACAATGAAATAGTACTCTGCCATAAAAAAGAAAAAATTTGAGTCAGTTCCAGTGAGGTGGATGAACCTAAAGCCTGTTATACATTGTGAAATAAGTCAGAAAAACAAATATACTATATTAATACATATATGTGGAATCTAAAAAAATGGCAGGGAAGGAAAGGAGATGCAGATGTAGAGAATGGACTTGTGGACACAGTGGGGAAGCAAGAGAGTGAGGCGAGTGGAAAAGGTAGCATCAACATACATACACTTTCAGGTGTGAGATGGACAGCTGGTGAGAAGTCTGCTGTGTGGCACAGGGAGGCCAGTCTGGCACTGTGATCACCTGGAGGGGTGGGCTGGGGCGAGGGGAGGGAGGCGGGGAAGGAAGGGGATGTATGTAGAATCATGGCTGATTTGTGTTATCATATTGCAGAAACCAACACGATATGGTAAAAAAAAAAAAAAAAAATTAATTAAAAAAAAACAAAAAAAGGTTCTAGGGAATTCCCTGGTGGTCCAGTGGTTAGGGCTCCATGATTCCACTGAAGGGGGCTTGGGTCTGATCCCTGGTTACGGAACTAAGATCCCACACTCCACACAACCAAGAAACAAAATAAATTTTTCAAAAAAGAGAGAGATTCTGAGTCACAGACATGGATGAAATTCACACCTATACAAATACAGGTTAGAAAACATGCCTGGGAGACGTTACACAGATGCAAGGAATGCAAACAAGATACAGATTTACCAAACGTTACGGAAAAGAAAGGCTGTGGGAAAGGGCACCTCTGAGACACACACTCAGAATCTGCCATTTAAAAATTTCTTTTTTTACTATTACCAATGCTTTTATAAAGTGAAGAATTCTTTGATTTGGCTGTGATTTTTTAAATAAAATTATATAACTTTCCAAGGGCTGGGGGAGGAAAAGGGGAAATCAATGTTTAGTGGGTACAGAGTCTCAGTGAAAAAGTTCCAGAGATCTACTGCCTGGCAGTGTGAATATACTTAACACCATTGAATTGGACCCTCAAAAAATGGTTAAGATGGTAAAGTTACTATTTTGTGTTCTCATCACACATGTGTATACACACACACACACACACACACACAATCCAAAGGTGCCAGGATACTGTTTGGAAATATCAGATATCAGATTCTAAATGCTTCAGAAACGGGACTTCCCTGGCGGCGCAATGGTTAGAACTCCATGCTTCCAGTGCAGAGGGCCAGGGTTCGATCCCTGGTCCAGGAACTAAGATCTCTGGTGTAGCCAAAAAATTAAAACAGAATAAAAAACACACAATAAGAGAGGAAAACCAAGCAGCTGCTGGGACTCACGTGCGACGTAAAGGGCCACTCTGTCGTTCTCTTTGTGTTGCAGGAGGTTTTCTGCATAGTTGAGGCGACTGCCTTTGAACCACTCAGGCACGTCGGCGATCCCTTTGGATGTGTCCACGACCTACAGGGACAACAGCAAACCAAGACACACATGCACGAGAGGGTAACACCAAGGATGCATACAAGTGACTCTGTGTCCCAGGAAGCCAGCTAACCAACTGGCCCAAAGCGACACTAGATCGTTTTACAGACTGAACGCTGACCTGGCCCGAAGGCTGGAAACTGAAAACAGAAATGAATGCAGTTCTGTGTACCTAACAGTTGCTGAGAGATCTTAAGCATTCTCACCAGGAAAAAAAAAAAGTAACTGCGAGGCGATGGCTGTGTCAATTATCTTGGAAATCATTCCACAAGGTGCGTGTGTATGTATGTATGTGTGTGTGTATATATATATAAAAAGTCATCACATGTACACTTGAAATACATAATTATATATAGCAATTGCTCCTCACTAACATTAAAAAAAATTAACACCAAGGGAAAACACCATCCCCACTAATTTACTCTGTCAACAATTATTAAGCCCCTACTTGATGAGAGAAAGTAAATAAGACAGACATAGCAGCTGCTCAATGTTCCAGGTACAACCAGGAGCAAAGAAACCAGGGGGTCAAAGTGCAGGGCCTACCTGACCCTCCCACCACAGTTTTCAGAAAGCAGGATCCCTGCCTCCATCCTCAGGGGCTGGAACCTTGGTTTTCTTCCCCAAGTGCCTACAGATGAACCTTTCAGAATGGCTCACCTCACAATCAAACAAACAACACAACAAATGATACTTTGAATAACAGAACTCCTAGTCTCTCGATATTTATTGAGGATAAAGATCTGGGAAAAAGAAATCTTTAAAATCCAGGTTAGGGACTTCCCTGGTGATGCAGTGGCTAAGACCCTGAGCTTCCTCTGCAGGGGGCACAGGTTCAATCCCTGGTCAGGGAACTAAGATCCCACATGCTGCACCGCCAAAAATAAAATAAAATCCAGTTTAACAACAAAAATGATAGTTTTAAAAAACAATTATGTGAATGCGTGTAGCATCACTGAATGTATACTTTTAAATGGATAAAATGGTAAATTTTGTGTTATGTGTATTTTACCACAACTCTAACAATTGTTAATAAAATAAAAACAAAGCAATGCCCTACTCTTAGGATCACTCAGAGTGCCAAGACAGGGCCTGGGATCCATGCTCACTGGGGGCGCTCCAAGTCCACAGAGTACCCATGAGGTCCTCGACCCCAAAACAATCCCTCAACAATTCTCTGAAGCAATGACTTTTTCCCACTGTTGTGAGGATTTAAAATAAGACAGGATTTAGTCTTCCCCCAGATTGACACTTCATTTTGAATCATAACCACAAGCCCCCCAAATTAATGATTTTGCAACATAACCACAAAAAGAATGTGTAAGCGAAATCTCTACTTACCTCATCATACATGCGTGAAAAGACAATTCCACTGAATTTCCAGAATTCCGCCCAGAAGTCTGAATACGACTCAACTGACCAATGATACAGGTCATCATAATTTTCTGGAAAATAAAGACATACAGCTCAGATAAATCCTGGGAGGAAACTCAGTTCAATGATAAGATGGAGTTACATGTGTCTGAAGGCTTCAAAGGCATCTGATGAGAAAGGATCTTGGGAGAGCAGGGGACCTTAGTCTTTGTTGAAGCAAACCCACCACTGCTAGTCCCCAAAAGGAACCAAAGCAATGAGGCAGCTGAGTTTTTGTCTTAGCCAGCATGCCTGAGACCATGGACTCTGCACCCAGAAGGCCTAGGTTCAAATCCCAACTTGGCCATTTGTTAGTTGTGAGGCTTCAGGCAAGCTCTGTAAGTGCTATGTCTCTGTTTCCCCATCTGTAAAATGGAAATGATTAATAATAACCTGCTTCACAGGGCAAATATGAGGATTTCAATGAGCCCAGGTATAAAATGCTTAGGGGCTTCCCACATGGTGCTAGTGGTAAAGAATCCACCTGCCAATGCTGGAGATGCACATTCGGTCCCTGGGTCGGGAAGATTCCCTGCAGGAGGGCATGGCAACTCACTCCAGTACTCCTGCCTGGAGAATCCCATGGACAGAGGAAGCTGGCAACCTACAGTCCATAGAGTCATAAAGAATCGGACACGACTAAAGTGACCTAGCACATTATCATACCATACAAACTCAGAAAACCTATGTTCAATAGATTTGAAAATTCAGTCCAAAACTGGAAGCCTGCCAATGACTCTTTACACCAAGACAACGCTATGGGGACTTTTTTGTATTATTTACTTATTTTGATTTCTGAGTAAGCGCTACATTCACAGGATTCAAAATTACAAAGTAAATAAAAGATTACATGGTTTAAAAAAAAAAAAAAGCCTCCCTCTCTCTAACCCCCACAACCCTCTAACTTTTCTGGTCCAGAGGTAACCAGTGAAAGAGATTTTTTTGGGTGTGACTTTGCAGATTTTATGTGTCAGCAAATACATCCCTCTGCCTCCCACTTTTACACAAATGGAGGCACGTTCTTCTCAGCAGGTTCTAATCCTGGGACCACAGGAAAGTCCTGTCCCCTCTTTGGGCTTTTTTTAATCTCAGTATGTTTTCAACAGGACTTAAAATTGATCCACTGGTGCTCCCAGGGATGATAACAGTTCAGCAGGAATCTGACTAACAGGTCAAGTTCTCTCATTCCATCACTCAACTACAGTTTTCATCATCCTCACTGGGGGGTCATCCAGAGGATGAGACATAGTGATCCCTGCCCTTAGCAGTGTCCCTCCTCCATGTGGCATCCAGAAATTATTTTTTAAGAGTCCTTTTTTTTTTTTTTTTTTTTTTGCTGCACTGGATCTTAGTTATGGCCTGTGGGATCTAGTACCCTGACCAGGGATCAAACCTGAGCCCCCTGCATTGGAAGCTCAGTCCTAGCCACTGGACCACCAGGGAAGTCCCAGCATCCGGTATTTGTTCTCAGTCATGCTGGACATGGGAGCCAGAGGAAGAGAGCAATCGCTGAGAGCCAGGGCGGCAGGGGCTGGGGGCTAGGACCAGGGAGGAAGCCAAGAGCCCAAGCCATGGGGCATCTCTGGCAGCAGAGATTGGGACAAAGTGGGAAGAGTCAGCACAGCCGTGATGAGGGGAGAGGGGGGTCTTAGAGCTCTGAGTTCAAGAAAGAGAAGCTGGTTTCCCAACAATGATGCCTGCCCTTCTTCCAAACCCTACAAGAGAACCTCCCCCAAGCCCTGCCCTATATCTACTCAAGCCAGGAGCTACAGGCCAGGTCGACCACACTGACAGGGAAAGACACCAGGAATGGTGCATCTGGAAGCCTGGAGCCAGCCCTGACTCTCAACATGGTGCCTGGGGACCTCAAGCGGCCCATGCTGTCTCTCTGGGACTGTTTCTCTCGAGTGTCATCTGGAAACTGGCTGGAGATGGCCCCGGGTCCTCCCATGACAGCGCAGGGTTAACCTGCCCCCTGGGGCCAGGCTGGATGACTGGCTTCGAACCCCAGCTCTTGTCACTTACTAGACAGCGACCCTGGGCTGGCTGCTTCACCTCTCTGAGCCTCAGCATCCTCACCTGTGACACGGGGACAATGGCAGAGAGCACGCTGCTCAGACACTGGCTTCAGGGCCGACCACCCGTGTGCAAGTCCTGCCACTCTCTAAACTGGCTGATGTCACCCAAGTCATTAATCTTCTCTGGACCTCCGTCTCTTCCTTAAGATAATGGTACTTATCATGGGGTCCCTGCAAGGACCGCGTGAGTCAAAGCAGAGAATGCACTAAGAACAGTGCTTGTCAGAGAGGAGGGCCCAAACATGTGACCCTGAGCATCACTTGTGACACATCACTCGTGGCCTCCTGACCGCACCGCATGGGCTCAGACAAGGAGACAGGGGTAAACAAGCACGTGTTCGCAGGAGCCTGCTGCCATGTTCCCCGCCAAGGGAAGCAGTGCCAGGCCCAGGGCACTTCTCTGGAAGCAAAGCCTCTGGAAGGCCTGGAGGAAACTGCACTAGACAAACAGGACGTACAGGTCCTCCCTCTCCCAGGCTTTTTTTTTTTTAATCACCTTGACCCTCAGAAATTGCAAAGAGCTCTGGCACCAAAACCTCCCCCACGCTGACAAAAGAGATGGAGCAGGAGCTTGAAACACAGGCCTCCCCTGAAGACCTTGAGGGCCCATAACAAACTGCATCCTCAACAGTATCTAGCAGGGTGGAGAAATGTAACCAGCCTGCCAACCCAGGAGCTAGAAGTCACAACGGCATCTCAACTTCACGAGGACCCATGGAGAAGTGGGTGGAGTGTGTGCCCAAATTCTCCCACTGCCCACAACTCTCTAGAAAAGCAGGGACTCTGGGGTTTCTGTTCGCACACATACACCCCAACCTGGGCTCAGAGGCTGCAATCCAGACACCTGGGTGACCAACCACAGGCACGTCTCATTCAGTCTGCACGATGCTCAGAAAGAAACAGAACCAGCTGATACTAAATTTGGGTTTCCGAATGAAATTCAGAATTTCTGACTTCTCCCGAGAAGAGAGGGTATCTTGATTGTAGGAGCCGGCCAACAGGTGTCCCCTCCCTGCCCCTGGCTGAGCTGGGCTTATCTGAAGAAACAACCAGCTGTTACAGAAATGACCGAGTGCCTTGTGAGGCTGGGTCAGAAGGTCATAGGACACTGCAGTTCTTGCTGTCATGATCATCTGCTCTGCAAGAAGCCAGTGGCCACGTTGGCAGGACACTCAAGCAGTCCTAGGTGGCAAGTAGCGGAGGCCCCCTGCCCACAACAAGCAATGACTCACTGCCACACGAGCCAGCCCCTGAATAGTGTGGCTGCCAGTCTCGGTCCAGCCTTCAGATGAGAACAGATAGATGCAGCCTCGGGAGACCCAGAGCTAGAACTGTCCAGCTAAGCCCCTCCCAGAAGCCTGGCCCATGGAAACAGAGATACTAAATAACTACTGTCATTTTACATCACTAAGTCCTGGGGTGATTCGCAGAGAAGCAACAGGTAGCAGTCACACAACATGGTGACAAACAGCTAAAGCAGGTAACAGCTGGCCACCCGGCCCTTCACACACTTGCGAGAGGCAACCTAATACTGCAGTTCAGGGCACTGACTCCAGCCCTACTGCTCACAGCTGTGAGACCTCAGCCAAGACTCTGACCCTCCAGTTTCTCAGCTGGGAAACTTGATGAAAGCCCCATCTATCTGGCCAGGTTACTGAGGATTAAGTTCGTTAATCCATGTAAAGTTCCCAAATGAGGCCTGGCATGTAGGAAGGGCTCACTAAACATTCACTGTTTATTAATATCACCTGCCTGGTCCCTGCAGACATCTGAGTTTGTAAGCCCCGCCTGCAGCTTCACCTCCCCACCTGTGAGAATTCTGACCCACCTACACCTTTCACATCTCAGCTCAAGGTCCTGTCAGCCCCCTTTAGCAGCATCCTAATAGCCCCAGAGCTCAGAAGGTGGGCGGCACATGCCCCTATACCCGCTGCTCAGCACTGCTACCTTTGTGAGAGCCTTCTCCCCACAAGGACACTTGAGCTGTTTGAGAATGGAGACCAAGCCTTCTTTGTGTTGGCCAGTTTTCCCCCAGATGCTGGCATGCAGAGACGAGTTGCAGTTTGTGATGTAAAGACGCTTGGCCCAGTACTCCAGAACAGCGTGTACTGGGACTTTCCTGGTGGTCCAGTGGCTAAAGGCTCTGGGCTCCCAATGCAAGGGGGCAGAGTCTGACTGCTGGTCAAGGAACTAGATCCCACCTGCTGCAACACAGATCAAAGACCCCATGTGCTGCAGCTAAAAGACCTAGCACAGTCAAATAAACATATATATTTTTTAATGGCTGTGTATAAAAAGCAAAAAGTAATGTGTACCATAAAGCTGGTGGCACTCCCCTAATGACTGAGAGCTGGTACATGTAGTATGCCCCCTGGGACCTTGCAAACAAGGCCAAGTGTCATAGGCTGGGGCTGCAGGCCACCCCCAAGGTCTAGGTGGGCATGCTGTGGATTCCCAGACGAACTCTGCTGGAAGCCATGACAAGAGCCAACCAACCTACGGTTCTGGTCCTGGAAGAGACTGCATAGTTCCAGGGAGGCCCTGCCCCTCCAAAACACAAGGATAGAATCCTCCTGCTGACAGTGGTCTTGGGGGAGCTGGGGAATGCCCCCCCATTCATCCCATCTCAGGGTTGCAGTAGGGCTGAGCCAGCCCGTGAGGATGCATACCTTGCTCTCTCCCTGCATCCAGACAAGAGCATTGCTTGGTGCTGCCTACCAGCCACACACCAGCCACTGCTGATGGCACAGACAACACAAGTTCAAGGGGTGCTGTCTTTAAGCAAATAAAAAGGCTCACAAATAGGGGATTCCCTAGTGGTCCAGTGGATAGGACTCCATACTTCCACTGCAGGGGGCACAGGTTCAATTCCTGGTCAGGGAACGAAGATCCCGCATGCCTCACAGACCAAAAAAAACATGCTCACAAGTAAACGAAAAAGCAAGACAGGTTAAAAGTCCAAATTATATGCAATTGGAGAGAGAGGAAAAGAAAGTGGTCAAAGAGAATAATCAGAGAAGACAGCATTTGAGTTGGCTCCTAAAGCAAAGCCCAAAATGTCCAGGGCCAGGCCTGTGGAAAGGAGAGAAGGCAGGGTGGGTTAACCATCAGGAGTAGAAGAGGAGGAAGAGAAAAAAAAACCAAGGTCTAAAGCACTCCCGGACCAAGAGAGGAGCCCCACTCAGCTCAGCTGATGCCACCTGTGGGGACATGAACCCATCATCACGGGCTGGTGGGTTTGCCAAAGAAGCTGGAACTCTTGCTTTTCCTATGCAGTCTCTCAAGGAGACTGCAACTCAGTGTGAGAAGCTCAAACTAAGTCTGCAGGTTCACCCTCGCCAGCAGGCCACCAGTCCCAGCCTTGAAGGGCAGACAGGAGTTGGGCAGGCAGTCGGGGGGCAACTGGTGCCTGCCAGTGTCTGCTCAGCCACCCCTACTGGCCAGGTGTGGCAGAGCGCTCAGCCTGATTGCCCTCACACCCACCCAATGATGTTGGTCCTCTCATTATGCCCATTTTACAGATGAGGAAACCAAGGCTCAGGAGATCCGGTGACTTCCCTCTGACCACACAACCAGTAATTGGCAGAACCAGTTCAGAATCCCGACAGTCGGATGACAGCTCAGCCTCACGCATCTCACAAGACTGCCCTTCTGTGAAATCATTTTGTAAAGTGTCAGGGAGAACAGCTGGCAGAAGAAAAAGAGACATGGAATCAAGGCAAGGAAACACAAAAGGAGGATGTGGTTCCACTCCTGGCTCTTGGTGGGAATCAGGTCTGTGCCCCAGGGAGTTTCCTGGAGGTCCAGTAGTTGGGACTCTGTGCTCTCACTGCCGAGGGCCCAGGTTCAACCCCTGGTGGGGGAACTAAGATCCCAGAAGCCGTGCGATATAACCAAAAAGAAACAACTCTGTCCCCCAGTCCAACACACATTAACTTACCAACTATTACCTGGAAAGAAGGCCTGGAGAGTAATAAGCCACACCTGTCTCTAGGGAGCAGGCAGCCGGGAGAGGGAGGGAGCTGGGTGAGCAAGGGAAGGGGCTACCTGTGGACGCTCTGATGCCCACCGTGCTGTGGACGACACGGAAGCTGCCAGGCGGCAGGATGTGCAAATCCACGGCCAACAAGGAGCCATTGTGAGCCTCAGGGCCCAGGTGTGACCAACCAGACCTTCCCGTCAAGGCTGCTCAGGCAAAGCCCGCAGGCAGCAGGTACGGAAGAGCAGAGAAGCAGGAAGGAGGAAAACCAGCCAGTGTTCACGGAAGAGGAAACCAGGGCCCCCAGGGAGATGCGGGCACTGGGGTGGGAAGGGGACCAGGCTGGAAGGCAGACAACCCAAGTCTCCATTCCTGCGGGGGCTCCCTGAGGACAGTGATGCCACCAACAGAAACAGGAGTCCCTGTAGCCGGCAGAGGGGCGAGAAGAGGGGGAAAGGGTCACAATGAGATGAAAATCGCTGAAGGGAGGATGCAGGAAGTAGGTGGACAGCCAGGTAGAGAGCTGGGGAGAAGCTTCTGATTCAGAAAAGGGCCATCTCACCCAGGTGGCTCCTGAGGACAGGAGGGAGCTGGAAGGGGGGTCCTGGGCTAGGTTTGGTTTGGGGCTGGGAGTGTTAACACGAAAGGGAAAGGAATTCCACCCCGATCCCAGAGACAGCCTCCTGCCTGAGCATCATCCATCTCCTCGATGCCCAGAATCCAGGCTGGCCTCTAGCAGTGTCAGCCTGGAGGGGTGGGGGGCGGGGGCACCGTGATGGGTCAGCACCAGGTAATGTGGCTGGCAAGTGACCCACCCTTCAACAGAAGGGAAGAGCTAAGGGTCAAAGAAGACCTGGGTCAGAGAGACAGATGAGACTGGGGATGGTAAGACTCCAGGGAGCACTCCTCACAGGCAGGAATGCCTAACAAGGGATCACTCGGTCCACTGGGGTTCCAAGACCAGAGGGGCTACCCTACCAGGGAGATGGATACTGCAGAGAAGAGGAGACTGGTCCCCTGAAAAGAGAGGAAGTGACACCCCGCACAGACACGCGGGCAAAACCCCACAGTCAGAAGATGTCCCACCCCCTAGGGAGGGGGCGCCCCTGTCCAGTGGCTCCTCCAACCCCCAAAGGCGGGAAGATGAAAATCAGGAGACCATTCTAACAACTAAGAGGGGCCCTGACCCCAACGTCCAGGAAAAGGGGGCTCCCGGGACTCCAGGAGGAGTGTCTCTCTGCCAAGTGGTCCCTCGGACGGCCAAGGGAGGAGCCCGATTTCTGAAAGCCCCTGGTCCAGCCAAGAGGTGGCCGGGGAGCCCCCCGGGACGCGCGCCCCGCACTCACCAAGTGCCAGGCCGCAGGCGGCGCCCACGGCCGCCCGGAAGCGATCCATCTGCGTGTTCTTCTTGCTGTCAGGCTCCCACATCACCTGGCACTCCAGGATCTCCTCCCGCCCGGTCCGCGGTGCCTTGGACATGGCTGCGGCGGGGAAGGCCGGGGCTGCGCGGGGGATCGGGACTGGGCTGGGGACCGAGCCGGCGGCGGCAGCAGAGGCCGGGGAGCGGGACCTCCGGTGAGCGGCGAGGCAGAAGTGGAGCAACTGCACGCGGAGCAGCCGCCCCGCCCGGACTCCCAGCGAGCCCCGCCCCTCGAAGCCCCCGCCCCTCGAAGCCCCCGCCCCCCAAAGCCCCCGCCCTTCGAAGGGACCGCCTCTCCCGAATGTAACCTTCCGCGGGCGCCGCGCCTCGAAAAGGAGTGCTGCCGCCGCTCCGGGACTACAACCCTGCGCGCGCCCACCAGGTGGTGCTGTGCAGGCGCGTTGGGCTGGGCTCCCCAGCCTCACCTGGAGCTCGAGGGGGTTAAACCAGGGCCCGAAGTGGAGGTAGAGACCGCAGGCTGGTTCATGTGTTCTTTCGTTCAGGATTGATTTTTTTTTTTTTTTGGTCCTACCCGTATTTACCGAGCGCCTACCGGGTACCGGGCACTGTGCAGGTTTTGCAGACACATCACCGAGCGAAGCGTAATTCCTGCCCTCAGTCAACAAGAGATAAGGGGTGAGGGACAGGTGTGGGGAGGAGCGGGGTCAATCAACAAATACATTATATAAATGTCATATATAGTATAATACGTACAATAAAAAACAGTTTACCAATGCGTATCATACATAAAAAAGTAATATAATATTAATCACGTAATAAAAGGTAATAAGTGCTATGAAAAATCAGGGAAGGGTAGAAAACATGGGAGGAGTGTTTCTATTTGAAAAAGGTTGTCAGGGAAGGTCCCATTAAACAGGTTATTATATCAATAACTTGAGGTAGGAGTGAGCTACTTAGTAACCTGGAGGAAAGTTTCCAGGCCGAGGGAACAGCAGGTGCTAAGGTCCTGAGGCAGGAGAGGGTTGGATGTGGTTCGTGAACTAGCTGAGAGGCCAGTGTCTTTTCACTTGAGACCTAGAGTAGAAGACAAGGTCAATGAAGGAAGAGGCAGAAGCTCAGGTGGGTTCCTGGAGACCAAGGACGATTTTGGCTTTTACCTTGGGTGACACGAGACCATTGAAAGGTTGTAAGCAGAAGGACATACTCTGACTGTCATAGGAGTCTGGCTGCAGCATTGAGAATAGTCTTCAGGAAGCAAGGGTATAAGCAGGAGGACTGATTAAGGTGATGTTTCAAGAGATGATGATCGCTATGGAGATGGAGAGGAAACTGCCATAGGATCTTTTTTTTTTTTTTTTTTTACTGCGCTGGGCCTTCGTTGCTGCCCGTGGGCTCTTTCTAGCATGTAATCTTTTCACTTCAGTGGTTTCTCTTGTGGAGCACAGGCCCCAGGGTGTGTGGGCTTCAGTAGTTGTGGTGCACCGGCCTAGTTGCCCAGCAGGGGGATCCTGCCCTCCCACCACCACCTGCTTTGGAACTCATGTCCCCTGAATTGCAAGGCAGGCCCTCAACCACTGGACTACCAGGGAAACCTGTGGTGGGAGTTATTTTGAAGTTTCATTTGCTGTACTCTTATTGCACCTTGGCACTGTTCTGGGGACATTCCCATATTCCTCATTATTTATTCTGACAACAACCCAGTCAGCTTCTCCCAAGTAACAGTTTTTTGCAGTGCTGGCATTTTAGGAAGCAACCCCCTCCCTCCACCACTTAATCTTAAATAGCTCCCATCTCCCAATCACGACATAAACATAGGTGCTAGCTTAGAACAGAGTATTTACTATGTTAACACAGCTTCCAGAATGTCTCCTTCCCCTGACCTCCAAGTTCTGGGGCCAATTCTAGCTCTGTCTGCAAGTCACCTCCTTTGTGAAGGCAGCTGCATCTGTGCTAAGTCACTTGAGTCATGTCCAACTCTTTGTGACCCTACAGACTGTAGCCCACCAGGCTCTGCTGTCCGTAGGATTTCCCAGGCAAGAATACTGGAGTGGGTTGCCATTCCCTCCTCCAGGGGATCTTCCCAACCCAGGGATCAAACCCAGGTCTCCCGCATTGCAGGTGGATTCTTTACCGTCTGAGCCACCAGGGAAGCCCAGAGAAGGGTGGGAGTCCATCTCAACTCAGAAAGCTCATCTTGGAGGGACTCTTGTTTACATGTCCATCCCTTTAACACTGGACTGCAGATCCCACAGGAGCAAACTCCCTGTCTAACTGGTCTCCACAGGGTCCCCAGAGTCTGATCCATAGTAGGAGCTTAAGAAATGTTCATTCATTCATTCAGAAATGTCCAGCGAGTAACTGGTGTTGGCTAGCAAGGGCAGGGGTTGGGGGTCACTGTGTAAAGCATAGACCTAGCCCTTATGGGCAGAGAAGGCAATGGCAACCCACTCCAGTATTCTTGCCTGGAGAATCCCCGGGACAGAGGAGCCTGGTGGGCTGCCGTCTGTAGGGTCGTACAGAGTCGGACATGACTGATGCAACCTAGCAGCAGCAGCAGCAGACCTTATGGGGGTTTCCCAGATGACACTAGTGGTAAAGAACCTGCCTGCCAATGAAGGAGACATAAGAGATGCAGGTTCAATCCCTGGGTTGGGAAGATTCCCTAGAGTAGGAGATGGTTACCCACTCCAGTATTCTTGCTGGAGAATCCCATGGACAGAGGAGCCTTGTGGGCTACAGTCCATAGAATCACAATGCATCAGACAACACTGAAGCCATCTAGCATGCACACAGCCCTCTTGGGGAGTGGAATTCCAGAGCTTCACACGTAGGTTGACCATTTGTCATGAAGCCAGAGGGGGGCTGGATTGATATACCTGACAGCTACTTGGTTCATTCTTATTTCTTTCAGTTCAGAGCCACCCCCCCACCCCCACCCCTTAGAGGCACAGGACCTGTAGGGGAAGCCAAGGGAGAAGTAAACTACAGTCAAAGTAACTGGCTATTTGTCCTCACCCCTTGACTGTCTCCCAGACACACCTTGGTTGTGCCTTTTCAGGCCCCTCCTTGCTGCCTCATACTCTTTTTTTTTTAATTTTTAAAATTTATTTATTTATATTTTTATTTTTTGGCCACAATGTGTGGTATGTGGGATTAGTTCACCTACCAGGGATCGACCCTGCTCCCCCTACATTGGAAGCACAGGGTCTTAACCACTGAACCGCCAGGGAAGCTTCTTAACAAGCTTAGAAGGGAGTGGGGGAAATGAAGAGATTCAAGAAAGTTCTTCCCATCTAAAATGGGAACAAAGAGGAAAGGGATAAATTAGGCATTTAGGATTACTGTATACACACTACTATATAGGAAATAGAAAATCAACAAGGACCTACTGTAGAGCCTAGGGAACTCTGCTCAATATTTGGTAACAACCTATATGGGAAAAGAATCTGAGAAAGAAGGAATATATGTATATGTATAACTGAACCACTAGCTGAAATACAACATCGTAAATCAGCTATACGTCAATGTAAAATAAAAATTAAGTTAAAAAATAAATAAAATGGGAAGAGAGCTGGAAGGGCTTTCCTTTACCAAGAATCTTAAACTATCTGTGGGTAACCCCTCTTGGGTCTCTGAAATTCCCATCTCCCCCATCTTACCAGTTGCTTTCTTTTCTCTTTTTTGGCTGCACTGGCTCATAGTTGCTATGTGCAGACTTTCTCTAGTTCGGGTGAGCAGGGCCGACTCTCTAGTTGTGATGCGAGGACTTCACATTGCGATGGCTTCTCTTGTTGCAGAACACAGACTCTAGGTCTCAGGCTCAGTAGTTGTGGCACATGGGTTTAGTTGCCCAGTGGCATGTAGAATCTTAGTTCCCTGGGCCAGGAATCCAACCCATGTCCTCTGCATTGGCAGGTGGGTTCTTAATCACTGGACCACCAGGGAAGTCCCATCAGTTGCTTGTGTTTGATTTAAGGATTCAGATGGATACTATTTATACACCACACCCCTGACCTGTGCTTCTCCAGGCTATTCTAGCTGCTTCAAAAGAAAGAAAGAAAGAAAGAAAGAAAGAAAGAATATAGACATTTGCCAGACGAAATGCACTTATCTTATTCTCAGAGGGCTGACCTTCCAGTCACTGCTTTGGAATTTCCCTTGTTTCCCCTTAAGTTCACTTGTGTTCATTTTTATTTGTCCGACTGTGGAATGTGTTCAAGTAGATTTTCCATGTTTCAAAGTTCTCACTATTATACACTTGACCTTTAACCAATAGAATAAGTTATGTGACAATATTGAGTCCTCTGGAATATGTTGAAAGCAGTTTCATGTGAAAGGCATGAGTATTTGCAAAAAACTCCGATGATCTGGAAGAGAAGTGGCATCCAACTTGACATAAGAGCCAAGATTATCAGAGGAAAGCGCATGTTTCTGAAATATGAATTTCATGTTTCTCTTGAATTTCATGTTTCTCTTATCACTTTCACTTTTCACTCTGAGAGGTTTCTGTTCATTTTGGTACTTCCATCACCCATGTGCGATAGTCTAGACCAGGGGACCCCAGCCTTTTTGGCACCAGGGACCAGTTTCATGGAAGACCATTTTTCCATGGATGGTGAAGTGTCAGGGGAGTGGCTACAGGATGATTCAAGCGCATTGCATTTATTATGTACTTTATTTCTATTATTGCATCAGTTCTACCTCAGATCACCAGAAGTTGGGGATCCCTAGTCTAGATCATATGAAGCCATCAGTAATAACTAAGGAAAGTCAGATCCCCAAGTCAGGACCCCCTCTGTCACAGCTCCTGTGTCTCAGGATTCCACAAGGACAAAGAGGATGAGAACTGAAGATTCTTCATCTGCCGATCTTCGGGAAGAATCTCCCAGACAGAGGGCATAACAAGTGCAAAGGCCCTAAGGCATGCTTGGCACAGTCAAAAGGTAGTGACCATATAGGGCCTTGGGAGGCTCTAGGGTAAGGACTTCAGATTTTATTCAAAGTGCAATCAGAAGCCACTTGGAAAGTGCTGAGTAGGAGAGGGATCTACATTTCCAAAGGATTTTTCTGTCTGTTCTGTGGTCACAGAGTGAATAGG